AAGATTCATCACTGATCTTTCAGAACTATTATGAATTTCAGCTCTAAACTGTGACATAGTATAGTTTGACCTACACTGAGACTCCCTGCTGATTCCGTTGCCCAGTTGCAATTGGGAATGGAAAGAAAATGATTTTCTGTAGTTACAAATTTATGGAAACAGCGGTGAAAGATGATGAAATCAGAACTGTTCATGTTTTGGCCTGCTGTGTCAAAACTTGCAGTCTCCCTCAGTCTCTTTCTTTGTGAACATTTCAATTTACTTCAGACTTAATCCATCTGTTTGAGAAGATGCCTGGAGCCTCAAGAGTCACATGCTTTTGGCAAAGCTATATTGTTAGCAATTTTTCTTCAAAAGGTTGCATCTTTTGAAAATCTTCCTTGTAAAAATGCACACTGGCAGACTGCTTCAATTTATTAATCCTCTGTAACAGCACTGCTTTTATTCCTTGTAGAAAATGCACAAATTCCCTGTGTCTGCAATGACGGAGTCTCCCAGGTCCCATCAAATTCCCAGCGAGACTCTTGTCTGTGTGTCAATAGATAAGGAGAAGAGCACTGTGATATCATGAGGCCAGTGTGTACACACAGGCACTGCTGGATACCCCAGTCTTGAGGGAACAGATGGCTAGATCACACCTTGCTGGAAATTATTGAAATATGCAATTTCTTCTGTTAAAAAATCGCAGAAAGCTATTTTGACATGAGCAATTACCAAGCCCTAAAATGCACCATTCTGTTTTCTGCAGAGGGCTGTGGCTCTCCTCCAACTGAGTCTTCCCCTCTGTCAGAATCCCTCCCATTGATACTTCCATCCATGTTTAACAAGGTGTGCTTGAATACAATACATGCTGACATTATTTGATCCCTTCCCGCTGTGATGTTGGAAGTATCTGTTTGGAGAGGATTTGTAGTCTTTTTTCTCTCTCTTTTTTCATCCTGCCTTCTTTAAGTCTAATTTCCAAGTCGTGACATGTAGAGGGTGCCTGAGCAAATCTTATCAACCTTCTGCCTCCTTTAAGAAGGACAGCTGAGATATTTTTTTAACACCTCCATTTCTTCATTGCTGCAATCTGTTTTGATTAAACTCACACAGGGATCTCATTTGCATATTTATCGCTCCATGTGCCGGCAAATAATCTCAGCTCTGCCACTCCTGAATTTGCAAGAGAGACCAAAGTGGTAAACTAGAACTGTAAACTACGCAAACATATTAATTTAATTTCTCACACCTGCTGGTTTCCAGCAAATACATCTGTGGGGAAGGAAAATATTCATATGTTACCTTTGCTGAGTGTTTCTTAGGACTCAGGAGTTCCTCAGCTTTTTCCAAGATGGATTGACCATTTCCTATTAAGAAACAAATTTTAATTAAATTCAAATGTGCTGAAAAAGTTATGATGTCAATGAGGGGAGAGGAGTCATCTAAAACAAAAAATAGCCTTAATATTTTCTCATTTTTGACAATCAGACAAACAGATGTTGCGCTTTCAGATCCTCAGATGAAAGGGCGTGTAGTGGAAATGAAAATTGTTTCTTTTCTTTGTGCTATTGACAGTCCATCTCACTTCCACCACATATTATTAGGGGCATTACCATGTAGCGATCATGTTTTTAAGGAGTGTTTTTCTAGGAATGGTCTTTTTTTTTCCTCTTTGGATAACATCTAATATTTACAATTACTATTCATACAGGACATTTCCTTTTCCTAATACTTTCTGGGTCAGCTAGTACTGCATAGATGCCATGATTAGCTTCTTAATTTTTAGCCACAACTTTAAATGACATGACTGCAAAATTCAGGCCTGCAGGAAGTCACATCTCATCCAGTAAAATTAGGACAGGTGTAAGAGGCCACAGTGCCTTTTTTTATTATTTATTTTGTGGTTGCAGGCTCTCTGGGGTGGGATGATCTACAAGGAGAGAACTAAAAGATAAGATTTGCCCCAGTGAGGGTGATGGCCACAGAAAGATGCCAGTAATTAGGTGGGATGAGAGCAGCTGTTAGAATGTAGTGTTCTTCATGACAAGCAGAAGATTTTGCAGAACCACATAATCATTGCCAAGATTTTTGAAGCAGTCATGTTGTAGTCAGGATGGTAGGAAGACATTAGGGGGCACAGTTTATAAGAAATTAGTAGGATTTCTTATTAGACTAATTGCTTGTAAAATAGGACACATTTTGGGGCAGACGAGTCACTCAGCATATCTGACAAACATGCCACAAACGTCACCCAACACCTTTTATTTGCATTGCAGCACGTCCAAGCTCATGATGAGAAAAGTCACCTTCATTTGCAGACTCTTGCTGCCAGACTTCTAGGTCCCTGTAAATAATCCAGCAGCTGATGTTTGCAAAGAAAAGTTTGTCTCCAAGAGGTAGTGTGTCTGCAACTTTTAAGCACAATCTACTTGGGCCATTCTGAAAGGAAGAAGATTGGAAAATAAATGAAGGAACAGCTGAGCCTGGCAATTGCTGTCTTCCATTTTTCTCTAGAAGTGCCTTCCTGGGTGGTCCATCATGGCCTGAGCTGTTACATAGATATGTTTGAAGGATATTAGATGGGAGGACATAATCTTTTTTCTTCCAGCCAAAAATAAGGCTAATGTACAAATAATTGTATGAAGGTGTCTTGTTCTGTAGATCTCAGATCTAGCAGTGGAGCTCAGCTTATCACGCTGGGCCCTTGGCAGATCAGAGGAGAAACACCTGATCCAAATTAGCTCAGACATCACATTCACTTTCAAAACACAGAGGTCACAGATCAGACACTGGAATGCTTCTTCCAGACCACCCTTCATAAACTTCAAAAGGATGTCAGCCAAGATACATTATGTCTTGAGTATTGTCTGTAGGCTGAGAGGTTTGGCTGACTCTAATGTGATGAATATCCAGTAAAACTAATAGTATTAGTGTGGCTTTCATCTGTAGTGAAGGCAACAGTGAATAGCTTTTCTCAGAAGCAGGGCTTTTATTTTCCAGGCATATACAAAAATCGCAGTTTGTATCCCCATAAAATGGTATGGAAGCTCACAGCTGTTAGCAGAAAGACTTCCATCAGCTTTCTAGGTCTGGACAAGGCCAATATTCTTGTAGGCTGGGAATTACAGAAGCCATAAATAAACTGAGACTCAAACTGAAATTCAGTGAGAATTAGGTGCATAGCTACCTCCAGTTTGTTCTGTTCTTTCAAGCAGTGTGCACCTTAAACAACTACTTGAGGACTAAGCATCAATTTCAGCTCTATAACCTTGTCTCAGGGCAAAACATATTTAGCACATGGGATTCCACTGCATGGAAAGCAGTTTGCAAACATATGGGGGTACTTGAAAGTTAAATCCCACTTCAGATATTGTCCTGAATATGTTTCATGAACTGCAGCCCTATTTAGGGATTGGCTTGAGTCACAAATGAGGCCTGGACCATGTCTGTCTCTGTTACTCTTTATTAGCTACCTAATCTAATCTAATTGTGATCTCCTCTGGTGCAGATAGGGCTTGCAGACATATTTGAACAAACAGGGTAAGTGTTAGAAATGGCTTCAAGCTGAATGCTTTTCCACAAGACAAAAGCCTCCACCACTGCATGTTTACTTCTGATTTACTTGCCAATAAAAAGGGGTGAAGTTCACTCCTTGTGAGCTCAACATTGTCTACACAAAGTTACTTCAGTAAAGTGTGTGATGTATGATTGTTATTTTTCACAAAAGCAGCTGGAATAGTATGGGAAAAATGATCCTATATACTTTGTGGGAAGCAGAAGAGTGGAAGAAGCTTACAATTAGTGAAAGCCCAGTCACTGACCTAACTATTTAAACGAGCAGAAAGAAAAACAAATGTTAAGATGACATTTAAGAGGTACACTTGTTTAGTCTGTCCATTAGCTGCTTTTAGTTCTCACTGTGCATGCTAAAGGGCTGATTCTGCATGGAAGTCAACAGATGTCTTTCAGCTCCCCTGACTCATATAATTTGAAAGGAATGGGTTCAGACTGAGGAGGAAGAGGTAATATTGAAGCTATTTGAAAAGAGTGAGTTTCAGGAAGAGCTAGTAAATCCCAGCCAGGTGCTTGCAACCCTCTGCAAGGTATTGTGTGAAATACTTGCTGGTGAAAGATAAGACACTGAGAAATGTTGTGTAATGAAAAGGCTTATTGGTTGCTAAAAAGACTTTTTACACCTCTACTCATAAAAAGCTTTCTGTTTCTTTGGGAGAACTGAGATGATCAAAGGATTTCTTTTCCTTCTCTTCCCTCCCCTCCAGCCCCAGTTTGGTGTATCTGTGTGCATTTTCTTTTACCCTGGTTTTCCCTCCTGCCCACCTGCTTGCTCTCCTGTCCTTTGAAGTTTTCTATTGTACTCAATGGTTTGATAGATTTCCTATATTTCTGCTGATATTTCTTACACGGTGTCTCCCTTGTTGGAGCCTCATCTGGGATAATCTCTTGCATCTCATTACTTTTATGATAAAATATTGCTAGAATGATGATACGGACACTGACACTAGCACCCTTAACCTGCAGTTAAGAGAGCTCTTCAGAGAGCTCTGTTTATCTTCATGCTGTGGGCAGATCGTCAGTATAGTAAAACCTATTATTGGGCTTCGAGCCCTAGAGTTCAGATTCCCTAGAAAATTAAACAAATTAAAGCATATGGAAAAGGGCTGCTATGGGCTTATTAGTGTTGATAGGCCTTTTGACAGTGTCTCAAGTTTTTCACATGGTCCAGCCTCCAGTATCCTTCAAGCAGTGGCCTAGCGGGTGAAGGAAATGCAGACTTCTGCCATGAGTTGAACAGTAGCAGAACATGGATTTATTGTACATACCTCTATCTGCACTGTTATTTAAGAGCAAGTTCAGCAATTTTGGTCAAGTGAGATCGTACACTGAGCGGCACCACAGCCACGTTCTTTAAGGGACACCAGCACATACTCAGTGCCACTGGCCTTTTGTTGGGTGGAATAGCTGCAGATCATCTCTTACACTGCTTCTTCTTGTTTTAGGGAACAAGTGTGACAGGAAAAGAAAGGAAATCCAACTTGGCTTGAACTGGCTGTCCAATTTCCCCTCCAGACTACAAAGGCCAAAGAAACATAGGATTCCATCAGCTTTGAAAAGGAACTGAACGCCACAATGGGACTCCCCACACAGGTTTTGGCCTGTGCAATCTTAGGTTTGCTGTACCAGCATGTCAGTGGTGGACTCATCAAGCGAATTATCAGGCAGAAGCGGGAAACTGGGCTAAATGTGACCTTACCAGAGGACAGCCAGCCCCTCGTTTTTAACCATGTCTACAACATTAAGTTGCCTGTTGGCTCCCTTTGCTCTGTGGACCTGGATACAGCAAGTGGTGATGCAGACCTGAAGGCAGAAATTGAGCCTGTCAAGAATTACGAGGAGCACACGGTGAAAGATGAGAACCAGATTGTCTTCACTCACCGTATCAACATCCCCCGCCGGGCTTGTGGCTGTGCAGCTGCCCCAGATATTAAGGATCTGCTGAGCAGACTAGAGGAGCTGGAGGGGCTGGTATCCTCCCTCCGGGAGCAGTGTGCCAGCGGGGCTGGATGCTGTCCTAATTCCCAGACAGCAGAAGGTAAGGCAGACTGGGGAGCCACTCTCAGGGAAACTCTCACGCTGGCAGCAGATCTTGTTTAGAGTAGATACTCAAATCTGTTTCAAGAATGAGCAAAAGTCAACCTGTTAATTTTGAAATGTAATCAAAAGTGGGAATGCGTTTGCCAGCTTGGTTCATTCACAGTTTTTCAGTTTTGTGGATCTGGGGGTCAGGAGTGTGTCTGGGCTGCCTTGTAGTGGTGGCATTGAGCATGTATGGCACTTGGACAAGGTAACAGTCAGTGTCGAGTTGAGATTAAAACTCACACAGTCTAAGCTTTTGGCTCCATGTTTTGTCCCCTTGAGCAGGCTGCCAATGTAACTGTTTTCATGTCCAAGTTTTCCTTAACAGAGACCAATAAAAATACAGCAGGATATAAGCAATAGATGAGTACTAGTGAGCACAACTGATTTGAGAGGTAAAAAGAAAGTATCCTTCCTGCTGTTTTTTAAACTGAGGTAAGACGCTGGTCATGAGATAGAGAAGACATAGGTACAGCTGTAATCTGTCCCTCTGAACTCAGGTCTGGTCTCACTGTGGATGACACAGTGTGCTGCCTGGCTTTCTATGTTCTGGTGAACATAGAACACGTTCTGGTGAATACAGGGTGTGTGCCATAATGAAGCAGTCAGGAAAGCTGCTCAGTCGATGGAAGAGAGATTTTGAGAAGAGCAGAGGAATCTAAGATGCTCATTTAGCTATTAGTTGGCAGCAGCTTTTCCCTGGCAGCAGTGTGAATTAAAGCATTCCTGGTAAACTAAATCTTATGAGAGAATGGGAGCGTGTCTTTCAAAACCTTTGGTGATTCTGTAAATCAGACCTGTAGGGAACAGGGAAAATCAGACCCTTTTAGGTTGTGTGTCACACTGGCCTAACACATCCCAGAGGTAAGGGGGTAACGGGTTTCCTGACTCTTGATACAGGCCGCCTGGACACGACACCCTATTGCAGTGGACATGGCAACTACAGCACCGAGATCTGCGGCTGTGTCTGCGAGCCTGGCTGGAAAGGCCCCAACTGCTCTGAACCGGCCTGCCCGCACCACTGCTTCAACCGGGGAGTGTGTTCACAGGGCAAATGCATCTGCGACGAGGGCTTCACTGGCGAGGACTGCAGCCAGGCCTCCTGCCCTTCCTGACTGTAACGACCAAGGCAAGTGCGTGGATGGGGTTTGCGTGTGCTTTGAGGGGTACACAGGCACAGACTGCAGCGAGGAGCTCTGCCCCTATGGGTGCAGCGTGCACGGGAGGTGCGTGGGTGGGCGGTGCGTGTGTCACGAGGGCTTCACTGGCGAAGGACTGCAGCGAGCCCCTGTGCCCCAACAACTGCCACAACCGCGGGCGCTGTGTGGACAACGAGTGTGTCTGCGATGAGGGCTACACCGGTGAGGACTGCAGCGAGCTCATCTGCCCCAACGACTGCTTCGACCGCGGGCGCTGCGTCAACGGGACCTGCTTCTGTGAGGAGGGCTACACCGGAGAGGACTGTGGGGATCTGACCTGCCCCAACAACTGCAATGGCAACGGGCGCTGTGAGAACGGGCTGTGTGTCTGCCACGAGGGCTTCGTTGGGGATGACTGCAGTGAGAAGAGGTGCCCGAAGGACTGCCACAACCGTGGGCGCTGTGTGGATGGGCGCTGCGTGTGCCATGAGGGGTACCTGGGCGAGGACTGTGGGGAGCTGCGGTGCCCCAACGACTGTCACAACCGCGGGCGCTGCGTCAACGGGCAGTGCGTGTGTGATGAGGGATTCATCGGGGAGGACTGCTGGGGAGCTGCGGTGCCCCAATGACTGCCACAACCGCGGGCGCTGCATCAACGGGCAGTGCGAGTGCCACGAAGGATTCACGGGGGAGGACTGTGGTGAGCTGCGGTGCCCCAATGACTGCAACAACCACGGGCGCTGCATCAATGGGCAGTGTGTTTGTGATGAGGGGTACACGGGAGAGGACTGTGGTGAGCTGAGGTGCCCCAACGACTGCCACAACCGTGGGCGCTGCGTGGAGGGACACTGCGTGTGTGACAATGGCTTCACAGGGGAGGACTGTGGTGAGCTGTCCTGCCCCAACGACTGCCACCAGCGCGGGCGCTGTGTCAACGGGCGCTGTGTGTGCCACGAGGGCTTCACTGGGGAAGACTGCCGTGAACGGTCCTGCCCCAATGACTGCAACAATGTGGGCCACTGCATCGATGGACGGTGTGTCTGCGAAGATGGTTACATGGGAATCGACTGCTCTGATGGTAGGTTGCAATGACCCTTTCAATCTGCTTCCCCTGGGTAATCCTCTGTGTCCACCTATCAGCCTTGGAGGGGCCATGAATGTCTTCCATGTAGCTGGGCCCTATTTCTGCTCTTCTTCATCATAGTCTGAACAGTTGAATTGATGGAGTTGCAGCACTGAGAGAAAGCACTTCACCTCCCTTACTTTTTCAGGGCTATATAGTGTAGTGGTTTCTGTTGAAATGTGGTGGTCAGCAATCTAAAAGGCTGATAATGGTGATAGTCGATTTATTGTCTCCAAATTTGCTCCTGATACAATGCCATTGGAGCTGTAGCTATCACTGAATGGGTGTTTGTCACTATTACCTTTTGGTTTCTCATGATGCTAAAAAGATGCATCTAAAAGAAACTGTACTAGCTGTGGAGAAAGAGGGAGGTGAATTCAGAAACTTCTTAGATACTAAGCAGAATTAGTCGAGAGAATATGGACAGAATTTTGCCTAAAAAATAATGCTGTCAGGAATGAGGCAGTGCGGGTAAGAACTTCAGGGAATAAAGAGCTTAGGTATCGAGTACTTCTTGCAGTTTCTAGTTCACAGTCCCACACTAGACCAGTACAAAGGGAACTTGCATTTGCAATGCTATCACTCTTGTGGGAGCTGAAACCAAAATGCATAGCACTGACAGTGTATGCTGTCAGACCCTAAGGGCTCAGACCCCAAGGACCTTACTTTGAAGATGGACCTTTGAGCTGGATCCCTGGTGGAGGCAAGGCATGAGCAGAAAATAAGATTGTCCTATCTGAGTATGAGACACCCATCATGATGGAATTGCCAGATGTCACAAATACTGTCATGCAAGCTTTCAGGATTATTGCAGGGGCCTTGGTTCTCACTCAAGTGACCAAATTGATTTTTCTAACTAAAATAAAATATATATGTGTGTGTGTATTATATATATATACATGGAACATATATACTGTTAGATTTGACAAAGCTTAGAGTAAAATAATGGAATCAACTGGAGTGGAAACTTAGCTATAAAACCAGGTTAGTTTCCCATTACCACTGACTCTATGGAAATCGATAGAAAATGTTGGCAGCTAGATAATGACAGGTGTTACATTATAAAGGAGGCAGGTTTTTTTTAAGAGATCCCAAGGGAGGTATTTTAGAACTAAGATCTTTGTAGAGTAATCAAAGAGTACTTTGGGGTTGGGAACATTGTAAAAGACAATGAATATGATTTGAAAGAAATTCCCATTTTTCATCTCTTCCTCCTGGAAGGCTCCCAAGCCACATTCTGTGTACTTGTGCATGCAAATGGGGAGTAATCTATTGAAAGTATTTACAAAAATAATCATGTTTTATTTTGCTGTGGAAAATCTGTGCAATTCTGTATATCCAAACCCCAGCACTTCCAACTATAAAATCATGTGTTGCTGGCAGTTGAGTTAATCGTCTGAATCCCTAATGACCCAGCTATAGTAGTCTTGTGTAGTAGCCATGAGAGGAGGATCTGGAACACAGTCAGCCATAGGTTATATGCAAGTATGAAAGTAGAAATTGGCCCATGACTTTTGGAAACATCTGTAGTCTTCATCAACTGAACATTCCTTTCTACAAGTGGCTAATTCGTGTGGCATGGCTTCCCCATTCCCTATTTGTTAGATGATTCTTATAAACTGCTTCTGGGAAAATGTGAAACTGGGTAGGTCATTATTTTCTGAGCCTTGAAAACTTTTGTTTTGCTTTTCCCCTCCCTAGTGTCTCCTCCAACAGAGCTGACTGTAACAAATGTAACAGATAAAACTGTAAATCTGGAATGGAAGCATGAGAATCTCGTCAATGAGTACCTTGTCACCTATGTCCCTACCAGCAGTGGTGGCTTAGATCTGCAGTTCACTGTACCAGGAAACGAGACATCTGCCACCATTCATGAACTGGAGCCGGGTGTGGAATATTTTATCCGTGTCTTTGCAATCCTTAAAAACAAGAAGAGTATTCCAGTCAGTGCCAGAGTAGCAACATGTGAGTTTAATATTCTCTTTATTCACTCATTTGTCTATTCTGTAGCAAGCATTTATTTTTGTTAGGGTTTTCTTCCTTCTGTATTTTCTATTTCCTGCTCACTTTCTGTTCTGCTCAAGGACAGTCTTCATACTTTCATTTTCTATTCTTTTTCAATACCAATGACTGTGTTAAAAGTAATGTTTGTTAGCTCTTCTGCTCTCTGCAGTGGTCTCATGACAATGAATATTGTGGGGTCTTTGTAAATTAAAACCCTCAGTTTCTTCATAATAAGGTACATTTTTAAACTCTGGTAATGCTTCCTGAAAATATCTATCTATCTAAATACAGAAAGTACAATAAGAGTATTGTGAAATCACTTGGATTCAAAATCTTTTGACTAAAATGGAGATTTGTTTTACATCTTCCGTGTGTTTTACCACAACTTGCTTTCTATCTGCTTATCTGATAATTTGTTGTCTGTTTCCCTTTTTGTGTTGTGCACAGCACAATCATATCTCAACATGCCAGTCTCAAAAGATGCTCTTTGACTTCTGTCATTGTTCTCATTCTGAGAGACTTGGGGCAGGATTTATCTCACCTAACTTCAAATGGCCACACGAGGTTCTTTCAAGAGGGCAAAAACAGGCATTTCTAGGGCATTTATTTTATTCTAAGGTGAAATCTAGAACAGGTCAGAGGAATGTCTGTCCAAAGGCAGAATACCTAGCTGTTAAGTGAGTTAAAACATCTCAGATACAGCTCCCTACACGGCAGATAGTTATAGCTGTGAAAAGCTATGGAAAGCTGTGGAAAGTTATAGCTGTGGATAGATGTAGCTGTCACACCCCAGTGCCCTCATTTATTACTTGTTGCACATGTAATTATCCCCTTTATTTGTTTATTTATTTATTTATTTATTTATTTATTTATTTATGTCACAGATCTGCCTGCTCCAGAAGGTCTGAAATTCAAATCTGTTAGAGAAACATCTGTCCAGGTAGAGTGGGATCCTCTGAGCATTTCATTTGATGGCTGGGAGCTGGTCTTCCGTAATATGGTAAGGAAGCAATGTTCTTTGTACAGAAGCTTTGGTTCTTGTCCAAGTGAAAGATCCTGAATTTTTTGTATTTATAATAAATGCTTGTTTCATGTATTACAGAAAAAGGACGATAATGGAGATATAACCAGCAGCTTGAAAAGGCCAGAGACATCATATATGCAGCCAGGCTTGGCACCAGGGCAGCAGTATAATGTATCCCTTCATATAGTGAAAAACAATACCAGGGGACCAGGACTATCCAAAGTGATAACCACAAGTAAGCATAACCTGTATTGGTATAGTGCAACCAATGAAACAGTTGCTTTTTGATGTAGTCTTGGTAGTGTTAAAATTTTTTTGGAAAGCTAAGCTTTATATAGGGAAAAGAAAAAAAAAGGGGGAGGGAAGCATTGGAGCTGTTAAGGAAGACATGAAGATAAATTAATTCCTTCCCAAATTACCTTTTTGAAGAGGAAAGTAAATTTAATTTTATTTAGAAGGTAGCTAGCAGTATCTATTTTTATCCTTTTTAAAAAGGTGCATCAATAGTAACTAGAACTTCTTTCTTCCTGGTGGTATTGGTGTAAAGAAATTACTTAGGGGAGAGCTTCCATTATGCAGGACTCTTAGGGTTTCTGTTTGTCTTTGTTTTGGCAACTTCAGATGTTAATGAATTTTTATGAATTTGTTTCTTATGAATTGGCTCCATCTGGCACTTTCTTCTACAGCTGTAAAAAGTAAAGGATGAAAAATATGAAGATAAGCTTCAGTTTGTAGGAGCCATTCATTTTAATTTTGTTCTGAAGCAATTAAAAGCCTAAGTGCTATAGTTTTCTAGTAAGCTTTATTGAAAAGAAAAAAAAAAAAAAAAGACGTTTTCTTCTTTTGTTACAGAGCTTGATGCCCCTAGCCAAATTGAGGCAAAAGATGTCACAGACACCACAGCTCTGATCACATGGTCCAAACCCTTGGCTGAAATTGAAGGCATAGAGCTCACCTATGGCCCCAAGGATGTTCCAGGGGACAGAACTACCATTGACCTTTCTGAGGATGAAAACCAATATTCTATTGGAAACCTGAGACCACACACAGAATATGAAGTGACGCTTATTTCTCGGCGAGGGGACATGGAAAGTGACCCCGTGAAAGAAGTCTTTGTCACAGGTAGGAAGCTTGGGTACCAATCCAGATTTCTGGGAGTTTAATGTAATCACCATCAATCTTCCTGTGCTGTTTGCATTGTCTTGCTTGAGTTAATAGTTACTAGATCAACACAGAACCAATGGTATTATAGAAGTACATGAAGATGGAGGCTTTTCTGTGTCTTGTATACTTTACTGGCTCATCAAAATATTTAGGCCCCTCCAGTCTCTAAATGTGTTTTGAAAATGGGAATTATATTATTAAGTCACTTAGAAGCTTTTGCTTATCATACCATAAATCTTTACTCCATAAAACAAATTCCTCTGGATTACTTCTCTGATTGCTAAGCTAAATATCTTCCATGGTTCTTATTCCATCAAAGACCTTATTTCTGTTTGTCTAAACCCATAGTAGATTAGCAGAGAACATTGCTGTTTTTCCTTCTTAAGGTCTGCAAATGTTTTCTCTCATGTATTTTTTCAAGTTTTCTTTGCTCCTTTGTTATCCTGTGAATGCTTTATGAAAATGTGGGTCCTTCAGCATATTGTCAACGTTTGGATATATTAAGGGACCTGAGTAGATGGTACATGGAGAATTACCTCCCATTTCATCCAAAATGCGGCAGTTTATTCAGAGCACGATTTGAGCCTACCATAGGTATAAACAGGGAAAGCCTATTGCATTTCTACAAAATATTCACCTTGCATTTTGAGATTTAAAGTTCCCTTCAGCCATGTGCCCAAGATATTAACTGAACAGACATTCTAGAGTTGGTCTTTTACTTTTTCTTAGCAATTTTTTTTTCATTTGGAAAGCTAAGGTATTTGTAAAGGAAAATATTATTTTCATCCAAATATGTTTTCCCACAACTATGTATTTTGTAATTAAAATTAATTACTGAAGTTGAAATGGTTTTCTTTTGTTTGTTTCAGGAGATAAATGGTGAATTTCTTCCTCTGACTTTTTTCCCAAAGCTAGTGAACTCTACACTTCATGCTAAAAGACATCTAATTAATGTAGTTGAGAATATAGTGGCATCATATAAGAGGAAATCTGTCAGCTTCATGAATCATATTGAGTTTCTAAAAATGGCTGTCATAAGAGTGTGTTGTCATAAGAGCATTACTCCATTTATTTATGTGTTTATTTATTTATGTATTTATTACAGACTTGGATGCTCCACGAAACCTGAAGCGAGTTTCACAGACAGACAATAGCATTACTTTGGAGTGGAAGAATAGCCATGCAAACATTGATAATTACCGAATTAAGTTTGCTCCCATTTCTGGTGGAGACCATGCTGAGATCACAGTGCCAAAGGGCAGCCAAGCAACAACCAGAGCTACACTCACAGGTAAGGGAATTGGGAGATTGTTATTAATGTCATGCTGCTGCCATCACCCTTGAGCACAGGACCAAAAAACCTTTTGGTCACTATACATAAGAGCTACAAGCAGAGGTTACACATTTTGAGTAGAAATGATTAAATTAAAGTCCATGTGATATGTGTTTATGTACTTCAGATGGATAACTAGCCAACAGCAGACGTGTAGCCATTTTGCTTCCATGTGCGTCTCTGAACCCCACTAGTCACTCGCCTGGGTTCTAGGTTGCTACATGTCTTTGCAGAGATGGCTTGACATCTTTAAGTTCTAGAGGCTTTTGTATGTGCTAGGAATGGTATTTACTGATGCCAGCCTGCAGGTTTTCTGGGTGTGTACAAGTTGCCACACCTGCCTACAATGGTAGATTTCTTCATTTAAAGTGGATCTTTTTCTCGGGAGTATCTACACTGCAATCTCTTGGAAGTAGAAGTTATCTCTGACTATGCATTTGCACAATGTTCAGCATGTAATCTCAGCCAGCCATAGTCCGTATCCTCTGGCAAGTCTGTGGAAAATGATTTATTCACTTCAGGTCATCTGGAGGGCAACTGAAACCTCAATTCTTTGCATATGCACAAAAGCATATATCTAATCTTGCATACATTCAGACTCGTTTATTTAAACAGATGCCAATAAGCAAATTCCATGGACAGGGACTCATGCTTCTATCCCTTATCTCTTAGGTTTGAGGCCTGGAACTGAATATGGCATTGGAGTGACAGCAGTGAAACAGGACAGGGAAAGTGCTCCTGCTACCATTAATGCTGGCACTGGTGAGTAGCTCAATCCTCTCTTGTACTCTGCAGGAAGCAGCAGATAGCTGGAGCCACTCTGGTGCTTCTTCCCTTTTTAAGTAATGTTGTAAGAAATATTTTAGAAAATTCTTGATTTCTTTTTGGTACAAATGGGACATTTCCCCACAAATAAAAGAAAAAGTATTTTCCCAGAGATCTTGATCTTTGACTCTGGCTTTCTTTTCCTGAACCAGGATCTCTTAACAGTCTGGGTTATTCACCGTAGTAATAATTGATTGCTCTATAATAATTGCTCTCTAGCTGTGAGGGTTTCTGGCAGGAATGGTGGTTATGGCTAAAACATCATCTGGACAAAGAGTATAGCCTCAGGGGTTTCAACAGTCCCGACTATCCTTCAAATCCAGCACTTTTCTTACAACACTCCCTTTTTTTTTCTCCCTGGGTGAATGCTGTAAGGGATTAAATTCTTTCTCTCCTTCATGTAGTGATTGCTGAAGTGAATTTAAGTGGTGGAAATTTAGATTTAGTGTGGTGTGTCTGTAAAACAGAACTTCATCTTCTTCCACGTCAAGCAGCAGGGCTTCAAAAGCTCAGATGGCAGATCTGACTGAGCTGTCACTAGGCACCCAGTACAGTTGCTGCTGTGTCTACAGATGCCTGAAAAACTGTCCCAGGGCAGTACCAAGACAGCTTAACTTTGCTTTTTTGGCCCATAGATCTTGATAACCCCAAGGACTTGGAAGCTGGTGACCGCACGGAAACCACCCTGTCACTTCGCTGGAGAAGACCAGTGGCCAAGTTTGATCGTTACCGCCTCACTTACGTCAGTCCTTCTGGAAAGAAGAATGAAGTGGAGATCCCTGTGGATAGCACCTCTTTTATCCTTCGAGGGTTAGAGGCAGGAACAGAATACACCATCAGTCTGGTGGCAGAGAAGGGCAGACACAAAAGCAAACCCACAACTGTCAAGGGATCAACTGGTGAGTAAAAGCTTTTGATGAGTGCCGTGTGCCAGGTCATTGACTAGCCCAAGTAAAACTTCACCTGATTTTGTAAGCCATGTCTGGGGAACTGCATGAAAACATCCACTGCCTGCAGAGCAGACTAAGCTCTCTCTAGCATGACAGGTTCACTGAGGGATAGCTGTGTATTTGCCTTACTACTGTGTTTAGCTCCATATTCTCAAGGATTTCTTGCTTTCCTTTTGAGAAGACTCACAAAGAACAAAGCTATTTGTCCTGGAGAAAATACAGACCTTGTCCTTTGTTTTAAATGAGGCTGTGCTTTTGTACATTATGTCTTATAACTTGTTTTATTTTCTACAGCCAAAAACCAAGAGGAAGAGCAACCAGAATGTGTTTAACATTGCTTGTTCTTGCCTAATGAATTCTCTTCACAGCATGCCTCCACCCATCATGCTTCAGCAGGGTCGGCAGGGCTCTGTTGTTGCCCTTTTTCACTTTTCTCATCCAAAAGCAGAAACATGCTATTGTCACAAATCTGGTCACAGTCACTGTTTTCATTGGATACCATGACTGTTTTACTTGTCTACAAAGAAAGGGTCCATTTCTGCCATCTCCATTTGTACAAACATCTCTATTTAACTAGAATCAACTCACCACTTCTTGAATAAGGTTTTATTGTTTTTGAAACTTTTTGACCAAAAGTTGGTTGCATACAGATCATATCTCAGTATAGAATATAAATGAGTCCTGAATCTTTAAGTGCCTTCAGCCTAAATCTTGTGAGGCATAGCCTCAATTGCTATAAGGCAGCAGAGGCAGTAAAATCAGAATCAGTTGGGCTAGAATTAGTCTCCTTAGCAGATAGGCTTTTATACTTTTCCCCACAAAAGACCACCTATGAGGTAACCATGTGCCAGAAGTTGTGGATTTTACAAACAAATAACTGCATACAACTGACCTGAGGAAAACAAAACAAAAAAACAACAACAACAACAAAAACCAACAGTGCCATATTCCCTAGCAGTGTTCATGCCAGCAGCACCTATGAATTTACAGAGTCAGTAATCCAGTACAGGAGAGAGTTATAAGATATGGTGTAAACTACAGAAAACATTCAGTCCTGAATTACTTATTTGATGCATAAGTCTGGTTTGTGTCCCATGTAGGGAAAAATTAAGAAGTCTTGAAGCACATCCATGCAAAAAGAAGCTGAAGGTTTATGTGTCTTGAGTGAGCAGGCTTCAATTTTTCCAAAGTTATCTGTTTCCTCATCAGTCTGAAGACTGAACAGTCTCAAAAGAAGTACGTGTAGAGGGTGAAAAGGCAGAAACAACATGCTGTGGAATTTCACAGTTTGGTCTTTGCAGCACCAGCTTCCAAACTCCCAAAAGATGCCTTCTTTTTTCTTTGGATTATTATTTTTCTTGTAACAAGTTTGTCTGACCAGCGCATTTGTTTTAAGTCTTTACTCAGAGCAGCCAGTAAACAAAGAGTTCTCTGCAGTGTGCTGCGTAGAAGCAACAGCAGTAGTTGACATAACCTGTCTCAGTGACCTTCCTCCTGGATAGGAATGGGCAAATCCAAACACATGAGCATGGGGAGGCAGAAGTGCTCTGTAAGGCTGGGGGTTATAAGACAAGAGATCACTTCTTCGGTTTACTTTTTCCTCCAGCCTCTAGCCAGGCCTCCTCTTCCATGTTCCCAGTACTTGGGGGGTCCTCTAGTCCTCAGGCTAAGCAAAACAAACTTGTTATTTTGCCCTCTCTTGCAGAGCTCTGGGGGACCTCAGGTCCATTGCACTGCTGAGGAGAGTGCTTTGGAGAAACCATGCGGAGAGAGCAATGATTGATGTGGAAAGTGCCAGTAGCACAGCTAAGCCTGGACTAGCTCTTCTTGGTGGGTGGAGGAGACAGTCCTGCTGTTCAGAGGGGCATGTGCTGTCCTCACTGAGCATGGAAGTCAGGGACTGTGGGAGGCTTGAGAACATTTTCTTTCAGTTCCCTTTGCTTCTTCAGATTTCCAGTTTTTCATCTTATAGTCTCCCCAGCCTCTTGATGGTTTGGTTAGGTTTCTCTGCCTGCAGGTATCCAGAAGCTTCAGTGCTTTTGTTTCCCACAGATTATTTTTGTTTCTTTGCACAGTGAATCATCTTTCACTGAGAATAAGGTTTATTTCAGCCCCAGAACTGAAGATGTTCTGTTGGCGCTTTCTCTCCTCTCTCACATTCTCCTGGTTATCTTTCCACAGTTTAGCGCACACAGGTGGCCAAAACCTTGAGAGCTCACAGACCTTTAGCAAAGCACATCATGAAATCTTTCACACCACAGGATGGCAGCTTTATGTTGCTTCTGTTTCTTTATATGGATGAAGTGCTGCTCAATACAAAGCTTTTTTATACTGATGTCCATGATTCTGCATTCAAGGGATGCTAAAAATTATAAAGTGACCAGTTAGCTAAATGTTATTTTATTCTACTGAAATGGAAAGACTGAATATTTCACACTGTCATTTGCTTGTTTGTTTCTTTGTAGCTTCACGTAGTCTAACCCTAATGCAGGCAATGACTCCTGACCCAGAGGAGCTTTCTGGCTCTGGGAGCTTTGTTGCCCCAGAGATCTCAGGGACGGAGAACAATGCACTGAGAGACCTTGTGGTCTCAGGGGTTACAGACCACAGCCTTAGTGTCTCGTGGTACGCGAACACAGGAGCCTACACTAGTTTTGTGGTGGAGTACAAGGAAGTGTCATTGGCAGCTGGGTCCCCTGCAGAAACCTTCCTTCCTAAAGATTCCCTAGGTGCTGTGATTGAAGGCCTCCAAGCTAACACTTCCTATAAAATCAAGGTGTATGGATTGGCTGGAGAACAGCGCTCCCCTCCTCTGGAAGCTGTGGCTACAACAGGTACCTCCTTTCTGTTACTAACTAAGGTACCACAAAGCAGGGTCTCTCTTGTTAAAGGTCCTTCCCAGCATTGTGCTCAGGTTTTGGTTTAGAACTACTTCAGAAGTCACAGAAAATGAGCCATTTTACTAGTTGGAGGGACCTTCCTGCCAGCATGTCTGGAGAATGTTGTGCGAGATTGACAACTAATCTGCAGAGCGAGCACGTAACCCAGCTCTGAGAAAGCTGAGCACTCAGACTGCAGCTTTGTTCCTTCTTGTTCTGGTTCTGGAGCCCTGCCTGCGTAGCACAATGTGGGTCCTGGAGGAGGAGGGATGGCAATACATCAGGCATGAGAAGGCTGTGGAAATAAATGAGTGAACATAAGAGAAACCAAGTGCCAACCTCACATTCCTCTGCTGAAGGACCCAGATTGTGCAGCAACTGCTGATGAATCATGGATAAGATACTGTCTTGCCTCTGGAAATGAGTTGCACATAGGAGCATGGCTTGTAGAAGCAAGTTGTCCATTCTGTTGAATGTTTTTAAGAAAATTTATGTTTTTTACCAAAGACCCTTGTCTGTGTCATGCGTCAGTTGCTCTTCCTCTCCTGGCTTCTACCAGTCTCAGATTGCACCACCCTTCTTTATACAAACTCAAAGGAACATTAGGAGGAGTGATTAGGTGACCTAGTTCAATGGGAAACTGCAGTGCCGACTGCTGGGAAAATGGATTTACCAGTAAAGGTTGTCCATTTCTTCAGCTGATTCCTCTGCTGAGAGTACCTGGGATCTCAGACTTCAATATGAGGATTTTTAGCTCTAGTTTCTGTATTATTTCTGGCCTGTGATATTATTGCAATGCTTTATTATTGGAACTCAAGGGTGCAAAGGCACTGTAAGACCACTTAATCAGCTGGTTGAGAGAGGGGAAAGCCATTTAGCCAAAGGGTTTTTAAAAGAACACTAATATCTTGGTAGGCTGTGGTTCTGCAACCCTCTTTCAGAGAACTGTAGCCATATCCTACAGTGAGGTCGATCTGATGAGAACTTCTGCAGTGAAACTGGCTGATAGCCCTTCTTGGAAAACAATGTAAAATCCAAGAGACGGAAGCAAGAAATAATACAGAATACTCTTTGCTCCATCCTGAGTAACCGGGGAAATGTCCTGGCAGGACATTAACATTCTTCTTAGTAAAAACTCCAGTGAAGCATTACAGTGGAATTCCTCAAAAGGCCAGCAGCAGCAGTGTGGACATATTTAGGCCATATTCAGCCTGGAGATTCTACTAAGAGAATGATATTAAGAAATATTCCAGTCTGAGAAAGAGCGTGTTTATTGTCCATCCAGTTCCCTTCCTCTTTACTTTCAGCTCTTTGGCATTTACTATTTATTCATCTCACCATCATGCATCAGCCTGTCTGGCTGTCATCCACCCACCTAGAGCTCCTATAGCTCTGTTTTCTTCCCATATATTCCCCTGCTTGCTTTGTCAAGTGTTTGATCTGCATTGGTCTTGATATCCTACAGTTTGTTTTCCAAATTTTCTGTTATCCACTCTGTAGCTAATATTCTGTATGCTAAACGTTGAATGCTGATATTATCTATGGTATCCAAGTGTTTTCTGCATGTTCATATCACTTGCATTTTTCTATCCATTGCATGTTTGTACACAAAGCCACATATTCCTCTATTACACAATGTACTAATAGGTGTGTGCCTGTGCATTTATATGTGCGTGTAGATAGTAGACCACCCTTTCTCGACCACAAATTCATTTGTGGAGTCCACCATTAAACACAAGATAATACTCAGAATTAGGTTTGAAAAAAGTTTCAGAGATAATGTAACTACATAAATTGTACGTGCTTTGTAGGACAGCCTGTCCATGGTAACCACCCATGTAGTTGTCAAAGATGTCACAAAGAAATTAACCCACTTGTGACAGCAAAATGCTGAATTAAAATGCCAGTTACAGGAATTGGTCCCTCCTTTTTTAGATAATGCAGTTGAACTGTTGCTGTGTTTCCCATTTGTGTGTTTATACTATAATTGGTGGGAATTTTGGATAAGTATCAATAGGGATGCTCAAGGAAAATGAGGGGAAACGAGAAGCCAATTTTGACTAATATTTCTTGGGGTTTCTGAAGGATTCTTAGTATGCCAGCTTAAGGACAGCCTCATGTTTTCATTTTCCCTTCTATTTTTGTACACTTAGTCCTGGTTTTTGAATTCAAGGTGCGTGGCAGTTCCCCAGTGGGACCTTCCATGGCACGGAGCTTACCTGTATAATGTACTGCTCTCTTCCTCTGTGCTGGTCTGTTCACTCCCTCTATTTATGCATGTCTCCTGCAGAAATAATCCACAGTAAAGCCCAGCTGCCACTATGCATGTTAAGTATTTTTAAGCCTCTTTAAGTCTGAACAAGTACCAGTGCACTTGCTTGATGCCATAGGTTTTTGCCTGTTCCCAGCGCTATGATTGTGCAAAAGCAGCTGAGAGTCAGGGCAAGCTACCGGTTCAGTGCTGCATGTCCTCCTGCTTTGTTCCCTAGGGATGTTACAGAAGTTCAGTCACCCTTGTGTGGTCAGGGAATAGTTCTGACAGCACATTTTCCAAGAAAGAATGAACTACGCTAGCAGTTACCATTGCACATATGCTGGTGTGATGACAACTTTGCTGTCTTCGGGTTGCACGATATGTAGGACCTGGTTCAGATCACATGCTGGTGTAATTTAGGAGGACCCTTACCTAAGTCAACTGTCACTGATATGATATATGTAATATATAATATATGTAAATATAAGTCACTGCCTCACAGGCTTTGCTCTTTTCTGGAGGTGAGCAGAAAGCAACGTTTCTACATCTATACTTCTCCTGAGAGTATATTTTCAAGATAAAATTTCTGCATTTATTTGAAAACAGTTTAAGTTGTTCTTTCTCATCTAAAACCTTTTTTTTTCTTTTTTCTGATACATGTGTGAATTTGGAGACAGATACTGAATCCTGAGTACGTATTTGTGCTGAACTGACTGATGGTGGTAGATGACTCACTCTCTCTTAATTGAATGCCATGGAGCATGAAAGCAAGGCAGTCATCGAGGTGTGAAATGATGTGGTTTTCCACTAATGAGGAGATAATTCTGCATGGCTAATTGAAGTGTCAGAAAAATCACTTGCCTGTTGCCTTGCAGCAGTGATCAGAAACCATTTGTTGTGATTTCCACAGCTCTCAGATTTTCAGAACCTGACTGTGCTACAAGATACTGTCACAGATCTTCAGCATGTTGAAGGCCAAGCCTTTTTCCCTTCCATCCCTCTGGATCTCTTTAAAGAAAAATCCCACAGGTTCATTCTGTCTTGGTTTTTAGTTAAGGGTCCCTTCCCCTTTCTTAAATTTCTGCATGTATCAGGAGTGGATAACTCCTCCAAGCATGTTTTTATTTGGGTAGGAAGAGATTTAGCATGTTTCTCTGTGTCTTGTTTCTTGGTTTGGATTTGGATATAGTTGTGATGTTTGGCATGCATTCCACTTCTGGTTTGTATCAGTAGCAACAACGTGCTGTAGTAAAGATAAAAGGCATGTTTGAGAGACTGAGGGTTCAAATCCTCACTGATGTAAATCAGTGAAGTTCTTTGGAGCTGAATTGTCCTGATTTACATCAAGTGAGAATGTACCTATCCATTTCTCCACTGAAAGCATGTCAGCTGATCTGTGTTTAAAGGTTGTTGCTCTGGGTCTGTCTCCTGGTTAGTGTGGCTCTGTGCAAAAACCAGGTTGTGCTTGGTGATGCTACTTTTGCTTGTGGCTTGGATTCAGTCTCCAAAATAGAAGTACCTACCTTTTTTTTCTCTGTTCTTAGAGCTTGTTAACGAAAACACAGGAACTGTTCTGTAGTAGGTGTTAGCTGTCACTGGGTATATTTGGGAGGTTATTTTCAGGAAATTTTAACTTGTAATTTACCTTTGTTTAGCACATCTAGTCACATCACCTGGAGAATCAAACAGTGAAACATCATTTAATCCTACCAGTCCTGCACCTACAGAGCTAAGTTATTTAACAAACCCGAGTCCTGGTTCTCATGCTCTGCCTGTGGTGCCCACTGACCTTCCCATCTCAGAAGTCACTGATGCTCTTCGTGACCTAAATATAACACACAGGACTTCCAGTAGTTTCACCCTGTCTTGGGCAGCACAGGATGAGGTATTTGATCAGTTCCTTATCACTCTGAAAGACCTGTCCAGCTCAAACAGAACGCAGGAAATCTTTTTGCTGGGAAACCAACGAGAAACAGAAATTACCAATCTCACAGCTGGCACACAATACCAGATTAACCTCCAAGGAAGCACTCAAGGTCAGCTCTCTTGGTCCCTGGAAGCTCTAGCTGCTACAGGTATTTTCTATGGATTCATTAGCCACGTGTTCCTTTTCTGCTTTGAAATACAGAACTCCATTTTCGTACTGCTGTTCCACTGCAGAAATGCTAGGCTTTGTGAGTGATTCCTTTTTTCTTATTTTTTTTACTTCTTTTTGCACGGATAAAACTCTTATTGCTATGGAATGAGAACTTTGGGTTATGTAGCATGGACAATGCCCCATACAGCTTTTAAAGTGATGTAGCATCAATTCTCTCTTTTCAAATTGCATGCAAAGAGGAGCATTGATGCATCTGCTATTTACAAGGGACATGAAAATAGCAAGATATTACAGGGATTGTGGTCCAGAGCACCCAAGAAAAATCACAAGGAGGTTGCAGTTTGCAGCATTGGCATGGAAGTGGTGATGTTAGAGGAAAAAAAAGATTGTAACACATTGGGAGTATACCTGTCTGAAAACTTCTTACCTCTTGTCCCTCTTAAATGAATTTCATGAGGAAACAGGCTTGTAGCCACAGAGTTCAGTTCAATAATGTTGCAAGAAACAATGTCAAAGTTAATTCCTGAAGAACATAGCCAGAGACTAATGACTATAGCAGATCATCAGCCAAGAATTAAATTATGATGTGCGATAAGATATTCACATAGAAACACAAAGATCATTGTGAACCTAGTACATGGCTAGAGCAGTCTTATCTCTCAATGGTTTGTTCTCTCTTTTTTTTTTTTAAGCTAAGAAACATCATCCCTTGATAGCATTTGCCATGACATTATCATTGTTTTGTCACATATGTTGAATGCTTTGTGGATGAGGCTTTCAGAGATCTCCAGCTGTCCAACCTGGTGCATGATTTTATATGAGAATCTCTCGGTCCCTAGAGAGCATGATGGGGTTGAGTGCACTTCCGTTTCAGGCATGCATGAGAAATAAATAGGAGAAAAAGGGACTCTGCATCCCAGAGGTGAATGAAACTGAGTACTCTTTGGAGAAATTTGAGTTGCTTCTAAGCTGTGATGGTTACTGCATTACTTATTATAATCGTGCTTTTATGTGAAATATTTTGCCTTGCTTTAACTTTTGGTTTAGTTTCATTTTCATTTTAGCAATGTGTTTGTTTTATTTATTTCTGTTGCCACCAAAAGATCATTATTTCTGATTCAACCCATTCCTTTTTTGTTCTGCTTTCTTTTTCAGCTAAATGGTGCTATCTTGACATGATTTATATTTTGCCTCTGAGTATTTCATTCCTGTTACTGAGGAAGCTAAACAGCTCTAGGATTCATGCATTTTTTTTGTTGAACATGGTGTTATTTCATAAACAATCTCTTCCTTTCTAGCAGGATAGGAAAAGCTTGTCAAGACTTTGATGTTCCTGGATAGTAATATTTGCTATACATTAGTGACTCTCACTGATGGTAATTGACTGTTACCCATGAGTGTTACCTCTCAAAATGCAGCCCTACCTACCTATACAATGCTATGCAGCAGTCACACAAGAGATTTTCTGTTTTTTACAGGAAGAAAATTTATATGAATAATGTTGCTAAGCCTAGTTCTCATTTATTTCAGAGCCTTACTGACTCAAATTTACATAGAGTCTGAAGTTGAAGTTTAGAACTGAAAAAATCAGATCCATTTCCCTTTATGTGTCATATCTCTTACAAATGCTCAGGCAGGCAGATTGGGATTATTTAGCTAGGCTCAGTTCTTACTGTAATGCCGATGTGTTAACAATGCAAGGAAGTGAGAAAAGTGCTAGAAACTTATCCCAGCCCACTGGCCAATGATAGATCATGTAGCAGGATTTTCCATGTAGAAAAAGTAAGGTATTACTGTGTCATTTTCTCATGTGACTGCTAACTTTTAAGAAAATCCTCAGTACTGGAGGATTTTCTATTCCTGCTGAGAAAACAACCTAAACTTTCAGATAAAACAGCATCAGAGAGTTAGTTCTGATGGTTCCTGACTTTCTAGGCCACCCTTGTGGATGGCATACAAAAATGTTGATTTCTGTGAATGTAGATTTCAATTTTAGATTAATATCAATAACTCTGAAAATCCAAGCTTCTCTGCCTCCAGAAAGGTTTTCGGGGCAGAATAATGTAATGTAATGAAGATAACTCCATTAAACAATTCTTAACTGTTTCTGATTAGAAATAGTTTGGAAGAATAAATATCATCCTTCAATTAAAAGCATAAACATCAGAATCCCGAGTAGTAGATGCTCAGCATCCTTCTAGCCTTACAATAGGCTTACTGCAGTATTCACAGTCACTTTAAAATGACAAACACCAAGTCATTAATAGCTGGAGTAAAGTGGTTATAGTAATACTTACTTGTCTCATAGGGAGTTGTAATTAATATTGGCAAAACACTCGCAGCTGTAAGACAGTCTTTAAACCACTTTCTGTAAGCAGTCTTTTAGCATTACTGTGAATATTATTTATTATTATGGTTCTTTTCTTTCTGTTCTGTCTTGCCAAGTCTCTGAAGAGACTTTATGAGTTATCCGGGGCAGCTGAGAATGTCAATGTGTGTGGGGGTGCATTTCCGTGTCACTTGCTTACAAATGAAGTTCATTAGCTCTGAAAGTCATTAAGTAATACCTCACCACCACCAGTCTGTAATCTGAGTAACTGACTGACTCTCTGTCCTTATTCAGAGGAAGAACCTGAGCTTGGAAAACTATCAGTATCAGAGACTGGCTGGGATGGTTTCCAGCTCACCTGGACAGCAGCTGACGGGGCCTATGAGAACTTTGTCATTCAGGTGCAGGAGGCTGACAACCCAGAAGAAACCCGGAATATCACGGTCCCAGGCAGACTGCGCTTTATGAATGTTACAGGCCTCAAGGCCAACACACCTTATAACATCACACTTTACGGTGTGATTAACGGCTACAGAACCAAACCCCTTTCTGTTGAAACTGCAACAGGTATCTTTTCATCCAGTCTCATGGCTCCCTTCCTTTGCAGACAGGGACATGAGCCAGAGCAATTGCAACTGCTCGACAAAGCTTGCTCACTCGGTCTGCTTTGCATGGGGCGCGCTGAACTCATTAAAGCTTGGCTGAACATCTCTGGCATGGAAATGTCTCATGATCAGACTTTCCAATATGAGTCTCAGCGCCCCCATGGAGCCATTTGCTTTCAGGAATGCTCTTTTTACCCCCCTCAGAATGGCTTGTTTTGTTCCTTTTATTTGCTTCTCTGCTGGTTGACACTAACTGCAAAACCCAACTGGCTGTTGTACATGCTCAGGAAAGCCCAGGTTGCCTTGTAAAAATTATAAAATCTGCTCTTTGTAACCCAGATAATCAAAGCCCAGGAGCATGTTTGTGTTTTACCCTTCAGAAGCTATTTCCGAAATTCTGCGCCAGCTTCCTAATAAATCCAGTCTCAAGTGTATAGTGTGTGTGTCTGACCCAAGGACAGACACCTTCTGTATGTTCTCATATAGAAAAGAACACAAGTGAGTTTCCTCCAAGCATGGTATCATATATTGAGCCACATAAGGTTGTTAAACAGTTGGACTGTTCTGAAAAAATTACAACGCAAGACCAAATTCAACCGAAGTACTCTGGATAAAACTGACCTGAAAGAAGGAGGGTAAGCCCCACATTATCATAAGCTTGCTTGAAACTAAGCAAGAGCTACAGAAATAATTTTCTGACTGATCTTGTGAAACACTGCATTTTGGATAAGGGATTGCTCATCACAAGTTTCTACTGTGAGAAGCAAATTTAAACATATGTCTGTTCTGTATGGCTTACCGACTCTTCCAAGTGTTACGATCATTATAACAAACAGGGTATGAATTGACAATAGAGAGGCACCTCTCTATTGTTCTATTGTTCCATCTCATGATGGAACTATTTCTTGTAGACAATATCTGCTGCCTCTGGGCTTCCTTACAGACCTTTGCAACCTCCCAGCCTCCCGAAATTGTGGGACAGCCAAAAGTTTGCTGCTCTATTTACTTTTCCCAAGCACATATTACTCAGCATGGAAGGAGATAAAAGTACATGTAAGAACTAAACAAAACAAAAACATTATACACAGTAAAGCTTGCTTGTTTCAATAGTGCTTTAAGCAGCTTGGCTTAAGTAGAAATGTGTGTGGCACAAGGCACTTGCCTTGGGCTGTGTCCTGCTGCAGTCTGGAAGTCCTTTGCTTTGAGAGTCTTGAGTATGAGCTGGTAGCAGATTGCCCATTGAAAATAGACAAATGTGGCTAGACAAGGGAAGCAGTAGAAGCACAAACAAGAAAACAGACATCATGGGTGTCCTGCCTAAATATGCAATGTTCTCTCCTTTTATTAATTTAATGAAAACACCAGAAGATGCCCTGCTGAGGTTTTCCCTTCCCTTTCTGGGTCATACTCAGCATCCGGCTTTTCAAAATTTTCCTTTCTGGGGACTTGCAATTGTCAGAATTTTCTGAGCCTTCCTGTAGCATGTCAGGGATGCCTACGGAGAGGAAGAAACCCCAAGGCAGCTATCACTGCTTTGCATTTTGGCTCCAGCTCCCAAATTACATGCCAGCTTTCATAGGCATAAGCTGAAAGGGAAAGTAGAAGAACTAAAACAAAACACAATCTTTTCCTCTGGATACAGTAATGGCTCTAGTTTTAGCTTCTCCTAAAACTGGAAGCTGACTTGTCCAAATGCCCTGGGGCTTTTGGAAATGTTCTTTTGCAACTGCTTTCATGCTCAGACCTCAAAGACACATGGCTGCAAAGGGAAGTAGCCATAGCTTTAAACCTTCCTTTCCTTTTTTTTTTTTCCCTTTTTTTTTTTTTCTTTTTTAGCATTTTGAGATGCTTTCATTTGATTTCTTCCCCTTAAAACCTGTTTGCCTGTAGCAAGCTTCTATTTAAACCCTTTTCTCCAAGGGCAGCATGGAGTGCTGTCAGCATGTGCAGAGCGAAGCACAGCATTTCTAGTAGGAGAAGACACTGGGCTGTTCCCTTCTGACCAATGTTGTTTCCCTCCTCAGGAGTGCACCCAGAAGTTGGTGAGCTAACCGTTTCCGACATTACTCCTGAAAGCTTCAACCTTTCTTGGACAACCACCAATGGGGACTTCGACGTCTTTACTATTGAAATTATTGATTCTAACAGGTTGCTGGAGCCCATGGAGTTCAACATCTCAGGCAATTCAAGAACAGCTCATATCTCAGGGCTTTCCCCCAGCACTGATTTTATTGTCTACCTCTATGGGATCTCTAATGGTTTCCGCACACAGGCAATAAGCTCTGCAGCTACAACAGGTACATAAAACCTACCTCAATGCTAATTTTGCTTTCTTCTAACTCTTTGTTGCAGGTTGTGCCCATTTCCTTGCCCTCAGCTACCCTACCAATCTACCCACTGCCAAATTCTCTACCTCACTGTCTGACACCTTCTAAGGACGACCTGCTGCAGACATTTTGAACTGTGAATGTTATTCCACTATCCCATCCAGCAAAGGCAGTCAATCACAGTATGGTGTGATTTCATTCACATAATAATATGTTTGCTCTTGTTCAAACGTTAGGGTAGGGACAACTTCTGCTGTTGATGAGAATCAAAATAAATTTCCCAGGAAGCAAGTAGGAGATGATTCATTATGTTATTTTTGCAGTATGCGTTTATCAGACAGCATAGAGGACACACTCCTTCTCTCAGATAAACCGATTTCTAGATACAGTTTTTATCCTGATTCTCTAAATGGGTTTCAGGCACATTTCAGTCTGTGTCAGCAGACTCCTACAAGGCTGATACATTTATTAATTCAGTTTATGTTAGATGAGAGAGTGAAAGAGAGCATTTACTTGATGTTGGTAAATTAAATAGGTAGGCATTTAGCTGTTGGCATATTGCACATCCTGAGGTTTTACGGTTGACAGTTTTTCCAGAAAACACTCAAAGAAAGGGAAGTTAAGTGTCAAATGTGCTGTAGACAGTTACAGTGTGAAAGTGGAAGGAGAGGACTAGGTTACAAAAGCAGAAGGTGTATTCTGATAGCAGGCAGATAATAGCTCATGTTTTGAACATTTAATATTACTTTTTTTTTTTTTCTGCTGACATGATCTTAGGAAAAGTCGCAGCAATTTGTCATAGCAATAGATTAAGGTAGTCGGTGATGTTGAGCTTAATATCAAACATGAGTGATCAGGATAATATAGAACTGCATTTTCTAGCATCAGCAGATTGTAAATATCCTCACTGAGTCATAGGTAGTGTGGGCAGGGTGACCACAGGGTCTGTGGTGTGGAAAACATCAAGAAATATAGGGCTACTTGGTCTTTGTGACTTGTGGGTGAATTCAAACTTTTATTTAATTTTATTTTGTTGCTTTGGGTTTTAATAATTGCAACGTATTTCCATTTGTTTTTCTTCCTATAGTAGAGGAACCTCTCCTTAGCAAACTCACTGTATCAAATGCTACCTCAGACACCATGTTGCTCACGTGGGAGGCACAGGACAATGCCTTTGACCATTTTATTCTAGAAGTCAGAAATTCTGACTTCCCTTTGGACTCCCTGGTGCAAACAGTGCCAGGGGCCTTCACGGCACTATGTAGTCACCAGCCTCAAAGCTGCCACTAATTACACTATCCAACTCCATGGTGTAATTGATGGGCAAGGTGGTCAGACCTTGACAGCACTGGCAACCACAGGTATTTCTTTGTTTCACCTTCTAGGTTTGCTTTTTTTCTCTTCTTTCTTTTTGTGTCCACCGAACTGCTCTAAAACGTGGCTCCAACTCATCATCGTTCCTTTGGTAAATTATAGGAAGATCACCATGAGGGGAGGCTGAAGTAAAACGAGCTTGTGAGCACTTGGAAAAAGAGATATCTCAGACAATGGAAAAGGCTGAAAAAGTGCCCCCAGCATTAAGGGAGCCAGTAGTAAACCATGATTGGTTTCATTATATATACACTTATCTGCAAGTACTGTGTATATATAACTGACATGCTCCAGATGGCTGATGTTTTTCACAGAATATCTTTGCACTTGATCTGAACGTTTCCATTTGTCCCATCCTCACTTGCTTTGTTGTGGGTGGGAGGCCTTCATATCTTTGTCAGACCAGAGAGGCACCTGCATGTTGTTTTGATTTTTTCATCTTAAAACCAAATGTCTTCCAAGACATTTGCATCTCTTATGTGAGTTTCATACAGCATGCTAAATGACCAGCCAAGATTGCATGGAGTGGTCTGGTCACCTTGTGCTGGTTCTGGTGTTCCTCCTCTGCTGGGCATTTTTACGTGTTCCCAGCAGAGAGCTGGGCTCAAACAAGAAGCACACCCTTTCTTGATGGTCAGCCCACCACTCTCACTTGCCTTGCTATCTCTGAGTCTTTAAAACTTGTCTGGTTTCACTGGATATCAGAGCTTTTCCTTTGGTGATGGCAGGACTCACTGAAAAAGAAAATTTCCACTCGTTTTGCATGTAGTGTTCTTTGGAGTTTGGTTGTGGTGATGTGAGCCTGCCTGACTGGATGCAAATGGCATGCAAAGGAATGTGGCCATTTCAGAATCAGACTGGAAAGGATTGGTTTGTCAGCTCTGAGCTGCATGCAGGGCTGATGGCTCCATGCTCGGTTTCACTGGGTTCTCCTCCCAAGCCTGTTTGCACTGTGGATATTTTCTCATCTCCTCCCCTGTCTTCAGAAGTATTGTGCTTACATGGTGAATTCATCACTGTTAGCCATGAGGGCGTTGATGGCCACAGGCTGGCAGCATGACAGCAGCATGTGTCCTTAATCGGGGCCACTTGGATTCACCTCTTCCAAGATTTTTCCAGAGAAGGAGGTGGGCTGTTATCTAAAAGTCTTGCCACTGGGGACGGCAGCTAAAAGTTGGAACATCTTGCAGCAGTTCATGCTTTAGTTTAAAAAAGGAATTCATTCTTGCACTGTTCTCTTGGTCAGTGTGACAAGTCCTTCTTGCTTTTCTCTCAACATTTATCACTTACACAGTTATTCTCCTGTATCTCACAGGCTGCATTTCCCAAGGTGTTCTTGGTTTATACTCAATTGGCAAGAGAAAAAAATAGAAATTCAGCCCTGAGAGCAGACACAGGATTCTTTGACCACCTGACTGCAGGGTCACGTTTGTGGTCTTTCTGTGCTCTTGTGAATCCTTGATGATTTTATGCTAAATGGAACAGCTTAAAACAGGAATGGTGGGAAGCTCTCCCCCTTCTATAGCCTAAAAGCCAAGATTCTCCCTTAGCAGGGGAGCAAGGTGATTTTAAATTTCCTTTCGCAGAAAAGGAAAGTCTTTGCTTTCTCAAGAAAAGCCCTTACCATTGAATGGTTGGAAAGAGGCAGAGCTACAGCAGTGTTTTCTTGGCTTTGTGTTTTTTGTTCATTTGCTTGTTTGTTTTGTCCAGTCCATTAGATATTCCCTGATTATGCCTAATCAGGGGATGAGGAACACCTTAGCTGTGGAATCCAGGGAGGTTTTGGCCTGAGATTAGTGCTGAGATGATCACTACCAGGATGAAAACCCTGGTGAACTTCAGAGTTCTGTATCTACATTGCCAGGCAACAGGAACACTAAGAAGCTGAAATAGGATTTCAAGGACGTCTGGTTTGGACCCACCTAACTCCTGCCCAAATCCTATTTCATCTATTTTGGAATTGCTTTGGGTCTGGATATCTCCATTACATCTTTAGTGCTGAGTTACTGCAGTTCCCATGGTTTTACCATGGGGCTGTATGCTGTTGGCATTTCTGTAAATCAGGCCACATTTCAACAGGAAAATTGAGTGTATTTAAGAATACTGAATGAAAACAACAACAACAACAAAAGTCAGCACTAATTTCATTGGCTTCTTTCCAAAACCTTACAAAATAGCTGTTATGGTGCTCCTCTTTACTTTAACCACTGCAAAACAAGGCTAAAAGCTTCAGCTTTGGCTTCAAGAATCGATAACCCCCCGTGGCTAATTCCCCCACCCTATTAAGTAATGCTCTCTCTTCACCTGTGTTCCTTTCTCCCTCAGAGGCTGAGCCACAGCTGGGCACGCTCACACTCACAAATGTTACCCCCGACAGCTTCAACCTCTCCTGGACCACAAGAGATGGGCCTTTTGCCAAGTTTGTTATACACATTAGAGATTCCTATGCAGCACATGAACCCCAGGAGCTTACGGTGTCAGGAGGTGCTCGCAGCGCTCACATCTCAGGCCTGCTAGATTACACTGGCTATGACATTAACATTAAGGGCACTACTGATGCAGGTGTTCACACAGAGCCCCTCACTGCTTTTGTCATGACAGGTACCTGCTTAGAGGTTTGGGGTATATTTATCAGTTTATAAAAATATATATTCCAGCATGGATAAAAGAGCAGACTCTCTGCAGCACTGAATATCTGGTCCAGCAACAATGCTTTCATTTGCAAGCTTCGTGCAGGAATGGGTCACAGCAGGCATGTTGGCCTTAAAAAATTGTCCAGGAGGAGTAATAGTTTAAAGTGAGTCAAGAGCCCTCTAGAGTCTTTCTCCCATGTGTAATAATCTTTGAATCCTGAAGTTTAAGGGAGAAATTTGTCAGTAGCTCCATCTGAGGGAGAGGACTGGATATTAAAACACCTCTTGTTCTGTGATGTTCCCTCTACATATCCCTTACATCTGAATAATTTGGCTAGATTTTAACTGGGATTAATTGAACATCACATGCCTAACTCATCAAATAAATACCACGGAGTTCACATTCTATGTACTATGTGGCCAGTATGCACTGCTAGGGATTGTCACATAGACATATGACAGCCTAAATAGGATTAAGCAGAAATTTAATCCATTTCTTTTTCCCCCCTCACTTCATTAATGGACAGTGGGAGAACTAGTCACAGTAGCAGCATCCCTCAGCATCTGGGCCAGCACTTTCTGTGAAAGGCAATGACCATGATCATTTCCCTGAGGGAAAATGGTTGCATTTTGCACCAACATTGACCTGCCACCTGATGACATGTAGTTAGAAGTGAGCAAGTGTTTGCTTTCAAAATTCCTGATCTTTTGCTACACCAGAGCACAAATGCTTCCTTCTTGAAAACAAACCGTAGACACTGGTATTTTCAGAGGAAATTTCCCACAGCTAGAGAAATATGTGGCACTCTACAGAGCACTAGGATGTGCCAACAGTTCTCATAAACCTTCTGGGTTTAGCACGTTGGTGTCACTCAACACCTATCCCAAGAAAATAATTTCAGCATTTGGGGCTCATTATTTGCTTACCAAACTGAAATGGGGATCTTTGGGAACTGGTACTTTCTTAAGTGAGTGGAATTTGAGCGATGGAAGATCTGATGAGTTAGCTCCTGGGCCAACAAAACAAGGTTTGTCAAATAGTTTAGAAGAATTTTAGCAATGCCCGGGAACCTGGATGAAGGCCAGGGCTTAACAGAGCCAGTTGATCTTCCTATTTGACTTGTCAGATTTTGAGCAAGCAAAAAACTCTTGAGAAACAATCTTGTGAAAATTTGGCCTTTTTTTCAGAGACATGGTGGGAAAGTTTTGAGAAGTTGGTCTGCGTGCTCTAAACATTGGCAAGTGTCATGCTGATGTGAAAAAGAAAGCCCCCTCACTGGAATTTCTTTAAGTTGTCAACATGCCACCCTAGCAGCTGCCTGTGAAGCTCTTTGGTCAGGCTATTGCTCTGTTTTGCAGTCATTTAGCCCCTGCCCTCTGCCAGTGCAAACTCTTGCTTCTCTCCTATCCCCCCCAAAAAGCCATCTTGCAAGTATTTAGTACTTGCAAGAGCTATGACCCTGGCTGATTCATGCCCTGCTTCTGGCAGTCCTTTTGGCACTGCTGACCCCTCCACTGTTTAAAAAAAAAAAAAAAAATAGCTGGAGATATTCGTGTGAATTAGAGAGGAAAGAATGCAAAATATAGGAACTGTGAATGTCAAGGTTGAAAATTGTCCCTAAAGCACCCCTGGTGGAGACAAGTGAAAGGAAATGAAAGCCTTATGTGTAGAATTTCTCAAACAGTTTTTGTTATAACTGCTTTCTAGTGCATGTGTAACAAAAGAAATGTGCTTGCACATTGAGCTTTGAAGGAATTTCAAAGGAGCTTGTGAGATGAGGTGTTAAGACACCCTTGAGGAAAATGAACAATTGAGCATCTAACTTTTAGAGGCTCCATTGAAAATCCTAGTCCTGTGGTCCGGACGATACACTTCAATTAAATCCATATTTGGGGGAAAAAAAATGTGATTTATGTGTGTTGGAATCTGTGATACATTCTAATTTGCAATGTTTTTTTGCTTCTTTTTTTTTTGTGTGTGTGTGTTTTTTGCACCTTCACTTCTTTTAGAGGCCATGCCCCCACTGGGAAACCTAACTGTCTCTGATATTAACCCTTACGGGTTCACAGTGTCGTGGATGGCATCGGAGAATGCCTTTGACAGCTTTCTTGTAGTCGTGGTGGATTCTGGCAAGCTGCTGGACCCACAGGAGTTCCTCCTTACGGGAGCCCAGCGGCAACTGAAGCTTAAAGGCCTTATTACTGGCATTGGCTATGAGGTTATGCTTTATGGTTTTGCCAAGGGGCACCAAACAAAGCCCCTAAGCACTGTGGCCATTACAGGTATTTTTATGCGAATGAATTGTTCTCTCCCACCCTATCTTTCTTGCTTTTCTTCTCACATGGAAGATGTTTTATGCGGTCCATTTGCAAAACAAACCTTGGCTTTTGCATCCTTTTTTGCATCGTGGTTACACATAACTCCTTGTGATTGATAGGGTCACCAATGAAATTCCATTCCTTTTAACTTGACGTTTCCTTTTTGTCTTTGTGAGGGATCCTGTAGAGACGCATGACGTGGGTTGAGGGGTGAAAATTTCTGCTATGTTCATGCAGGTACTTCTAACCGGAGTCTTTTGAGACAGCTAGCTGCATGTGGGAGCTCATCTTGTTAACAGCTGCTGGGCACGTCAGCATTCCCCATCTTGCCAACTGTCAGGATCTTCAGGAGGAAAGTCATACTGGTTTTCCTGCCTATGGCCTCATTTCTTTCACTCTGTCTGTGGGTTTCACACACAGACCATCGAGTGTGATCACTGCCAACTGTAAAGATGGCCTTTTGTTCTCCACAAAACCTTAGCTCATGTTCTCAGCCTCATCATAGCTGCTGTTTTCCAGCAGCATTTGAATTTTCTTGAAAAGGCATTGCAGGCCGATTCTCTAGCCCTATAACCATCAAGTCTCATCTGCATGTTACTGATTATGCAGCAGTAAAGCTGGGGATTACCTGATTGGAGCTTCACAAAAAAATAAATAGGAACATCTTCTTGTGGAAGATAGAATTGCATTAGAGATGCTGTAAGACAGTAACCACTCCGGCAGCATTTCTGTAGGTGCTGATGCTTGACCATACTGAGCTGAAGATGTGCTGTAGTTATTTAATGTCTTACAGCTCGTGGGATCCTCTTGAGTGGGTTTGTTTGCTAAAGACAGTAGGTCTTGCACTTGGGATTTAAGTGTGCTAAGGAACATGAATTTTCATGATTCCCCATTGCTGCTTCAGCCTGTTTTTATTATCAAAGTGAAGGATTCATCTGTTCAGAGGTATCACAGAGGCCAGAAATGCATGGAATAAGGGTTTTGCATGAAGGAAAGGACTCTTTCAAGCAGCTTTTGTGTTGTCCTCCTAACAGACAGAGACCTGACAGTATTACAGGCATGCCTGTAGATCTATAACAAAAGCCTGATTTTATCCTACATGAAGTTTTCACATATGATGGGTAATGCAATGAAAAGCAAGGGACAAATGCACTTTGAACTTACTATTAGCATGTGTAATTTTGCATGGCAGAGGCAAATGGTGTATTTCCATGTAGTGGATTTGCTGTTGAAGACTGAACTGTTTGAATGCGCCCAAACACACTCACATACATCTTCAGTATTTGTAAAATGCTAACGTTCTTTTCTTTTTTTTTTTTTTTTTTTTCACTAGCCAGCAGATTGTTTCCCTTTCTTTGAACTGTGGTTGGATTCTTGCAGTATGCTATATCCAGACCTCATGCAGGTCACTAATGAACTGATTAAAACAATCACTTTCTTTTCCCCTACTGCTATCTTCTCCTTTTTTAGAAGCAGAACCCGAGGTCGACAACCTTCTGGTTTCAGATGCTACTCCAGACGGCTTCCGTCTGTCCTGGACTGCGGATGATGGGGTTTTCGACAGTTTTGTTCTAAGAATCAGGGATACCAAAAGGAAATCTGATCCACTGGAACTAATAGTACCAGGCCATGAGCGCACCCACGATATAACAGGGCTGAAAGAGGGTACTGAGTATGAAATTGAGCTCTATGGAGTTAGCAGTGGACGGCGTTCCCAACCCATAAATTCAGTAGCAACCACAGGTATTGTCTTTGCAGTAGGAAAAGTATAATCTGTTTGTGCCTGTTTGTTTTAACATTTCTCCTTTTCCTAGCCAATTTGAGCTGTTACCGAGGTCTTCGAACTGTCTCCTGCATGTCATTTATGAGTTTCTTTTTTCATGATGTAGTTATTTATAGTGAATCATGTAGTGTATTGATGTAGTTATTTATAGTGAATCGTCTCAGATTCCTTAGCTTCATCAGTGTCTATTTAATATGGTTCACTTAATTACTTCCATGATCTGGAATTAAACAGCAGAGTCTAGCATTCAAAGTGCTGGCTTTAAGAGCTGGGAAATAATGACTATCAGCCTTTTTCAGTGATTTCATCAGATTAATCGTGTATCTCCTCGATGATTTACCTCCCTATAAAAGAGAGATGACAAAATGAATTTAACAGAGGTATTGAGAAGTTTATTTATGGCTTTATCAGCAAAAGACTAAGCACCATTAACTTAGACTGGTTTTAACAGGAGCAACATGTGTTCAATAATTCAAAATAAACTAGACATTCTTGCAAAATCAAAACTTTGAACTCCCCCAGCAGAAGCTGCTATATGTTGTCATTCTTGTGTGTCAAAAATCCTGGTGTAAATTAGCCTAGATAAAATCATCATGAGGAAAAGATGCAGGGATGACTGCCAATTCATGCTATTTTGTTTAAAAATTCCAAGGCCCTGATTTTCAATTGCAGTATGCCAATTCCACAAAGTCAGAGTTCTTGCCTTTCATAGTCTCACAATGATGAAGAAGCATTGTAAATATAACTGTAAATGTCTAGTATCCTGAAGCTAGCCTAAACTTCTGTTTATGAAAAATCTCTACCAGAACACAGCCTTGTTTTCTCAGTGTCAGGGAGAGGAAGAAATTTTTTTTGCTATTTTTAACTGGAATATTTTTCTTATATTGTTTTTGTATGAAAATTTGCAGATACTAGTCATATAAAAAATTCTTGAGGCTTAGGTTGAATTCCTCAGATTAACTTAAACAAAAAATGGGTTCTTAATTTGAAGTATTTCATTTTGGCACTTTTGAAGGAAACTTTTCAAATTCTTTTCCATCAATATCATGATTCCATTTTGAAACATACTTAAATCTTTAAAAAATATATATAAAAAATGAGGCAATGCTCTTTGACACAAATCCTCTCTTTGAAAACTTTTGGGCTTGCTGATCTGAAAAAATAATTACTTCAGATTGACCTAATTCAGGGAGGAGGGGGCCAAGAAGAGGACAACTAAGTTCAGCGTGTGAGGAAGCCACCAGAAAAGTGTAAAAGAGGCATGTGCCCAGCTGTAGTAGTGTACTGCAGACAGCCCACAGACAGGACCAACAATAACTCAATATGAAACAACTTGTCCTCAAATAGCATGGCCTCACGACTCACCTCAATGTCTGTGGTGCCAGTTGTTAGAAATGCACATTTCTGACCAGCTCCACTGACTGCCATCACATCCTCTGAAAAAGCAGCATGAGCATATACACACTTACCCACGCCTTTACATGAGGGAGAACATGCATCCATCACAAGCTGCCTTTCTCCAGGCTCGTGTGGGTTGTCTCCTAATGGAGAAGGATGTTTAAATTCAATTGCACTTGTTAGCAGCATGTTCCCATTTTCACTGACTTCCAGGATATTTATGGTAAACCACTAACAGCTATCATTTTCCTTGCGACTACATTCCTATTCAGTTCTTAAGGGAGATTTAGCACATGTCACCTAGTGGCACCAATAGCCCCAAAGATGTTTTTCAGCTATAAATAGTCCATGGATAATTGATAGTAAAGTTGGAGCCACAAAAATCCAGCTAAATAACTCAGACTGCATGTTACCACATCGGGCAGCCAGGGCCACCAAGGCATCTAACTAGTTTCTTATTTAGGAGTTGGTTATTTAGACAAACACGTGTATATTTATAGCATTTCCAGTTTGCTGGCAAAGAAACATTTGCTGCCTCTGAGTGGGTAGCTCAGACAGACTCATATGCAGCCTTGCTTTATTCGAGCCTGCGTACAATATATGAGCGAGAAAGGAATAAATTAGAAAGTCTTGAGCTTTAGTAGAGGAAACAGTAAAATCACAGTAGGAACAAAGACGGCTAGCAAACAGACCAGCAAACCTAAACCAAACATTACCTGTAGAAATGAAGTCAGGAAAATAATCTGTATTGAAACTCCTTCTCTGTATTTATTGCTCACAGTTCTCCCTTCTTCCCTACATGGGCACACAGCCTTCTATACACAAACACAGCCGCCAGAGACCAGATCTGCAGTTGGTATAAATGAGTGCAGTTGAAGCTGTCTGGTTTGAGCATCACTGAGCTATCCTTTCTGAGGGTCCGACCTCTTATCCTCGTGTGTTAAACCATCCAGCTGCTGCGAGCAGGGAGAAGGAGGAAAAACCTCGCAGTGTTCACCGTTAGGTGCCTTGTCCTCCTCTAGGGTTTCGTTCCTTTTCTCTTTTAAGAATTCAGCCAGGGGGGCGATGCAGTGACAGCCACGGGCTTTCAGTGAGGAGGGAGCCGGGCAGGACTGGGATTTGTCAGGCTCTCCGTTTAGCTGTGTTGGTTCTGCAGCTGGTGGCTCAGCGCCTGGCTGATCTCCCTGGCTCCCATCACACCAGGGGCATGGTGTGAAACTGCTGTGCATGGGAGCTGACGATGAAGTCCTGTCTTCCTCCAGCCAACACCAACAGTTCTTCCTCCATAACAGGTGACATTTACTTGTATGTACAAGTGAAGAGCAGTAATTCCCCCCTCCCCAGCTGCTGCTGATAACATTGTTAAAAGTTATCCTGTTTGGGGTGATGATGGTACCCACTCTCTGCATTTGTCTGTCATTTTACTTTCATCAATTCTAGTGTGATAGAAAACATTCATCACAAAATCAGAGCAGTGTGAGGCAGCATTGTACAGACCAGCAGTGCCTAATCGAGTTGGCACCAGAAAGTTTGCCCACTGCTGCTCTCAGAGGAGGTCTGTGTCTCTTGGAAATTCATCTATATAATGTCTGTTGAAATGCAATTCAGCCATCAGCAGGGGACCACGATATGGCCATGTGCCACTTAATATCCTTGGTAGGAAGTGTGGGTCTCATGCTGCTACTTTCCCCTTCTTCTAATGATGTTTTGCCACGCTGTGATGGCATTTTTCATCTGAGAGGCTCCCCAAACACTTCACATGATCTATTTACATGATAAATGTAGTCTGATGCTTCCTGTTGCTTGAAGAAAGACAGTGGTCTGTTAATGAGGAAAGAACTTTTTTAGAAGAAAAAAAAAATAGGGCAAGAACTCAGGTTTGATGGATTTTCCAACAACCTCACAGAAGGTCCTCAGTCTCTCATAGAGGGATGAGGGATGGTGCTGGAGGATAATACTAATCATTTGTATCTGTCCAACAGCTGTGCTGAGCTTTTCGTGAGCGACAAAACAGAAGCTTTATTATGCCTGCTTAATTTTGGCTTTCAGGTAGCCCAAGAAGATTGATTCATTTGCTCCTTCTTCATTTCCCTGTGCTCAAAGGAACTGCTCCGTTACCTCCCCGGGACTCGTTACAGGACCAATGCTTACTCTGGTGGTCCCATATGCTTTGTCTGTCACATTTGCTCCCAGAAAAGTAGTTGGAGTAGAGGGGATGTTGGACTCTCACATAGCCAAGGCTCTTTGTATACTGTTCTTTGTTACATGGCAGTTTACCTGGTGCAGAAAACATGCATGAAGCTTGTGCCCACAGAAGTGTGCACAGCAGAGTCCAGGTGGGATGGATTAGGTACTTGATTTTCTGGGCAAGGCTGAAGTCTGTGAGTGTGTTAAAACCCCAAATGCTGGTCCAAAGAGAGCTGTGCTCTCCAGAGTCATCACTAGCTCTTTTCATCAGTAACTAAGGGCACCTCCACCATAGAGTATGATCAGTGTGATTTTAGCTTCTTTCTTTTTCACAGGTTTTCTTTATTCATGGTTGTTTCCTTCACATTGTAGCTAAACCAGTAGCAACTTTGGGTGTCATGCAGCTTTACTAACCCCGCCTTGCTTTCTTCATTATCTTTAGTTCTTTATCTTTATTTCTTTGGCTTTTCCACATGAGCAAAGCCCTCTAAGCCCAAAATGTCTTGTGAGCTCCAGAGAAATAATTTACATTTCTCTTGAGAGCTTTGAGAGCTCTGTTGTTTTTCTTTCCTTGACTTTCACTTGATTTACTGCATTGCTGCTAGATCTTTGGGGACACATGGAACAAACAGCCCTCTCTGACTTCTTTCCTGCAGACACGTTCTTTCCAAGCTATTTCAAGCGCAGTCACTTGTGGACTCCATTTGTCCCCCTTCCCCTGCCCACAGCCTGTTTCCACCACTCTTAATGTGGTTCATGTTTGGTATCTGTCCCCTTTCTGCTAATGCCCTACTATGTGTGGCTGTTTGTTCCTTTTAACAAATGTCAGGGTTGTTTTGGTTACAGTCAAAAAAGCAAACTGGAAGTGAGATGCTCAATGTAAACTTTGAAGGGGCAGGTCTCGACCATGTCCTTCCAGAAGCCCTTTCAATTCGTGTTTTCAGTAGCTTAATTAAGCCTTAAAGTAGAATGTTTCAGATTGTGATATGTTGGCTTGCATCTTAAAACTGGGCTATTTTGGCAAAAATTGTTAGGCTTTGTTTGCAAAGCAAAACAACGAGGTCATCCTAATGAATCTGTCCCAGCTTGCTGATCTTATTTATGTAGGCAAACCTAGTGCTCAGGTTTATACTGGGTGAGGCTGGGCTGTATGACAAAGAGCTGCAGTGAACTACAAGTGCCTTTCTGGTGATGGGTGTACCTAGGAAAAATCATGGTCTCAAACAGAGATTCCAAGAAGCAAATCCAATGTTCTGATGTTAAGCAAACAGAAGTTACAGGCAGTCAGTGCTTGAGAGGATGAACCCTTGATGCACTCAGACAACTGAGTCCAGGTCTCTTTTAGGCATCCTGTGGTAGAAACCTGATGCTGAAGAAGAGCCATCTCCCCATTGCTAAGCGTTGCTGTTGCCATGTGTCACAGCTAGGGCTCTGAGACTCTGTGGAAACTGGGGTAGAAAAAATGATAAATACAATGACTCTGGGTAATAGCATAATATTCCTGTAAGTATTGCTCCATAATTTTCTGTAACACTGAAAAATCTCTGTTACTTTTATGAACGTGATTTGTCGATAGATGTCTAGGGTATTTTGAAGCTATGCACTGCTGTATTGTTACCGAAAAAGGAAAATTTAGACCAAGTAGGCTACATGATAAAACCATTAACTGTTTGCTACTCCCTGGATTCATGTTGTTTTGTGCAGAGTGTTGGTAGCATCAGCTCTTGGGATACAGGAACAAATCACTGTTGCAGCACTAAGGACTGATAAACAAATTATTTACCTTTTCTTTCTATGTGGTGTGTCTGTCCTCTCTTCTCCACTGACAGTTGTTGGATCTCCCAAGGGAATCTCATTCTCTGACATCACAGAAAACTCTGCTACAGTCAGCTGGATAGCCCCGCGCACCCGCGTGGACAGCTACAGGATCTCCTACGTCCCTGTCACAGGAGGTAAGTGTGGGAAAGGACAGGGAGAAACATGGCAAAGGGGAGAGAAGAAAGGTTTTGTTGCACTGATATCCAGCTCTCAGTGCATAGGAATCTTGTCCCATGGACAAGACTTGTAAGGGAGCTCACAGCTAGATGCTGGAATTGTTGTGCCCCTCATCAGGCAACATTCACAAAACACTCTGCCTCCTAAATAAGGATATATTCCAAAACTGCCTTGTTATTTTGTAGGCACTTTATGAGCAAAAGCTGGCCCTCAGAAATGATAATCATAATCCATGGTTGTAATACTTTTCAAAGGTAGTGATTTTTCTTAGTGCTCCCCAGTGTTATTTCACTCCATCTATTATATCCCTGTTTTAGTGTTCAGTTTAAAAAACTTCCTATACTTAAGCAAATTTTTAGCATAACTTAGGGACATCTCTGAAAGGAAGCAACTAAAAAGCAAACACTACAGACATCAGGACCATAAAGAAATGCTGTTGAATAAGACAGGTAAAGATATAGGCCTCTGGATAATGTAGTATGTAAGCACATGTGCAGCATTAAATACATAATGATACCACAAAAAAAATCTTCAGAGAAATCTACAGTCATAAAATTAGGCACTTGCCTAAGTGTTTTGCTGGAATAAACCCAGAATTTGAAATAGGCATCTGTCCTAAGTCTTCACAACTTGAAATGATATAAGATACATCTTTATTAGAAAGGAGATGGGTGAAAGAAAAAGTTTGTCTCTGTTCATCTCCTACAAGAAACAAAGCAGATCTAAACTAGCAAGTACTGTCCTCACAGGTTTATGAACTGGTATGTAGACAGTACTGTGTTTTCAAAATAAATTATGTTACTTTTCTGAACAGAATTACTGTTTGTTTTTTTCTTACTGTTGACATTCCACTAGTTAAAACCAGAAACCAGTGTCTTAGATTCAGATGTCATGGCCACAATATGTTTTCCCAAGGCTGCTCCTTGACATCAGTGATTTCAGTTTGCTGGCGAAAAATTCATCTCGTTCTGTACATACCAGTACATCCGTGTTGGTCACAATGTGTTAAACTTGAAACACATGCTTCAAACATTTACTGGAGAACTGCAATTAATCCCTTGCACTTGTGTTCATCCTAGGTACTCCCAATGTTGTTACAGTCGATGGAAGTAAGACAAGGACCAAGTTGGTGAAGTTAGTCCCAGGTGTAGACTATAATGTTATATCATCTCTGTGAAAGGCTTTGAAGAAAGTGAACCCATCTCTGGAATTCTGAAAACAGGTAATATATGAAGAAGAAATAGCAGGTTTTCAAATACATTCTCTGTGCCATAGGATAGACTCAAGAAATGGAGCTGAAGACCCACTGAGATCCCACTTTTGCCATCTACACAAATTGTAGGACCTTTTTCTTATCCACTCTCCCTTTGTGTCTGTATTAAAAATGAGTGGAGACCTTGTAAGTTTCATCATGCTTCCATTCTGCTAAAGCTGAACTAACTTTCCTTGTGACAGGGACACTTCATGTGTTCACAGTCCTAATACATCAGAAAACAACAGAAGTTTAATTAATCCTATTTTGCAGATGTGGGAAAACAGAACAGCTGAGCAGTTCAGCCCAGCTTCTGTTGTGTGTTCTCCATATCTCTCAAGTTCCAGACTGTGTCCTAAATGCAAAAACTCTCACTTCTTCAATCTATCTTTAAATATCCCTATGGAAAATAAGGTTCCACTATGGTCCTGTTGTTGCCACCTTGAAGTCTTGTTCATTCATTCTTTTTTGGAGTCTGACAAGTGTTCAGAGAACTGTGGCAAGGACAAGATGATGCATATTGGATAATAAAGTGAAATTTATAGCCAATTTATAGCCAATTTATAGCCTATTCCAGCTGTACCGAGGGCAGGCATCTCTCCCAGTGCAGGAGCATAAAACTAGGTACAAAACAAAGTCCCATGATGAAGCAAGGCAGGATGTTTGGACGAATTTGGATGCTTAGCTGGCTGTTTGGTTTATTTTTAAACATGGAGGGCAAACTGGTGGAAGGTCACGGTGGCTATCAATTGCCGTCACGATGGTTATTTTTCCCAAGCTCTGTCTCATGATTTTGCTCCAAAAAGCAGTCCAGACCTGAGGGTGCCTAGAGAAATATGTCAGCTCTGTCAAAGCTAATAAGATTGATATCAAGACTGATCTGAGAATGTAGTTAGCTATATCTGTTCCCAGCATTTAATCTTTTCATGCATTGACCTCCCTTTCCAGTAGACACATTTGGTGTCTGTTAATAGGCACTGACGTACTCTGCTGCAGAGCTGCACTGTTCCAAAGGGAATCATAAAAGCTTCTGCATCAAGCAGAAATGTTTGCACGTTTTACATCATATAGATTCTAACACAGAATTGCACAGAGCTGAGAGTATTTGTCAAATCCTTTCAGCCTGCTATCCTCTTTCTTTCAGCGCTGGACAGCCCATCAGGACTAGTGGTGGTGAACATTACAGACTCGGAGGCTCTGGCAACCTGGCAGCCAGCAATTGCTGCTGTGGATAACTACGTTATCTCCTATGCTTCTGAGGATGGTAAGAAGAGTTAATGATGGGTCAGGGAGCTGACAGTGTTACAGCTCTCAAGAGATGCTCAGAAATGGGTGCAGCAATGTGGTTCCAGGAAGATAGGCTCAAGGGGGAAGGGGAGCAGGGCTGTTACTTGATGGAGAAGCCTTGCTTGAAGCATTTCAAATAACATAATTTTAGTTATGCATTCCTAATTCAGCCATGAACAAAGGTAACCAATATTCTTGAAAAGAAAACATGGTGTTATAATTCATATGAACACTAGAGAGTGCTAATACCTTTAGAGAAAAGGTTTCTTCTGTTAATTCAGATTCAGCAGAGCTGCGAGCAGGGAGACAAGCTCTGAGTTTTCACTGTTTTGCACTTGGTTCCCAGCTGGTAACAAAATGATCACTGAGTGGAGCGTGGAGTTGAGCACATAATGACGTGTCTGAATAATACCGGGTTTTCTTCTGTGTTTTTTTTTTTTTTCTTAGAGCCAGAAGTTACTCAGATGGTATCAGGAAACACTGTGGAGTATGACCTGAATGGCCTTCGACCTGCAACTGAGTATACACTGAGCATCCATGCAGTGAAGGACACACAAAAAAGCGAGACCCTCTCCACCCAGTTCACTACAGGTGCTGTCTCCCACCTCACTGCAGGGAGAGGGGGAGGGCTGTATCTCCCCCAGTCCTACCAGGCCTACTTTTCTCTACTACCATAAAGTCAGCCAGCACGTCGATAATTTTTTTTACTAGAAACCTGAATTTTGATAGCATTTTCAGGAGATTTTTCCTACTACAAGGCTGGTGTGGCTGGCCCAGGAGGTGGTTTTCTGTCACCAGTTCTACAGATTCTCACAATAGCAGTAGCTGCATCTTTGAGGAGTAATATTGGGGTACCAGTGCTGAATGTATCCAGTTGGTTTCGTCCTTATGACTCATGAACATCAAGGAAATCGTGCACTTTGTCATTTTCCTGAGCACAGAAAGTTATTTGACTTGTCCCAGGGAGTTTACTAGAAAGCCGAGAGCAAATTCAGTTATAATTATGGTGGAGAAGGGAGTCTGTAGCAAGACCAACTGTGAAAGGTTTGCCTGTTCAAAAGAGGTGTCATAGGAACCAAAGTTTTTTTCCTGGGAATATGGAAATATTGATCTGTCTTCTTGTGTGAAATACTGAAAGGCGTGGTTTTGTTTCAAAAGACATTTCAATGCAGCTGCTTATAAACCAACATACCTGAGACAAGCCAATTTTTTAACTTAAATAAAGTAAATATCTGTATTTTAAAACTTCCAGAGGGGAAAGTATTTTTAAATCACAAAATTTAAAGTTTTTTTTTTTTTATGTCAAATTTCTGCAGAGGGAAACTTTGTTTTCCTGGCCTGTTTTAATACCCTGCTCATAAGACAGCCTCTCTACTACTCTCTACTAAGCTCTGAATCAATGTGATTGTAATTGGTCTACTGTCTCCTTCAGGAATGGATGCTCCAAGAGATTTAAGTGCTACCGAGGTTCAGTCAGAAACAGCTGTGATAACTTGGAGGCCTCCACGTGCTCCTGTCACTGGTTATCTCCTGATCTACGAGTCCATTGATGGCAAAGTCAAGGTATAGCATTTACATCCACACCAGAAGGTCTGTGCCTCAGTACTAGGCAGTAGAGATGCTCAAAAGTGCCCAGCACTGGGACCTAAGCACGTGCCTTAAGAGAAACGTGGTAAAATACTATGTACATTTTACAGTGCTAGCTTGAACATGAATGGATTTAAAACGTGTTAAAGTACTTTCTTAAATTATATCCTGAAACAGAAGCTTATTTGCAGCCTGAATTTTGATGGTCATCTCTCAGCAATAAGGATAAAGGCACATGCAGCTGTTTTCTCTTATTCCAAACCTGTGTCATGGAGCAAACTCACAACCCCATAGAATGGGATTGCCTTTTCCTAACACAAGAGAACCCAGCCTTGTGTGCGTGAGGTGCCTAAAGCCTTTGGAAATGCCTCTTGCTCTCTAATAATTTTATTTAGTTCCTGTATGACTAGTCTAAACTAGATGCTTAAACTTGTATGAAGTAATTCCTAGCAAAAATGACAGATGACTTTGAATGGCCAGCCTGTGATGTTAGAAAGGGATTTTCAGGAAAGCAGATTACTTGAGCACACTGAAAATCAGTCCTTTATGGTTGCAAAGAAAAAACTTTTGAGGACTAGAGGCTGATATTTCCAGGCTTGTCCTAAAGGGTGTTCCTACCTAATTTTTAATGAGTTTCACAGAGACCTGTATACAATATGAACATTCAAGGCATGTAAACATTTATGTTGACCTGTTTTTAAACCACACAACTTACACACTATGACATTTAACATTCATTTCCAGACATGCTTTTCTAAATAATGTTATCATGACAAAAATCTTTGAGAAATACACATTTTGTATTAAATAATTTAAATGGTTAAAATATCATAATTACCACAAATAATCTGACAAACTAAAATATGTTGCAAGTCCACTTATAATTTTCTTACTGAGGTTTCCCTGTATTATTTATCCCATAGGAAGTCATCCTAGACCCTGAGACAACTTCCTACACCCTGGCAGAGCTGAGTCCATCTACCCAGTACACGGTAAAACTCCAGGCACTGAACAGATCCCTGAAGAGCAGAACAATCCAGACTATTTTCACCACAAGTAAGTATGTTAGAGTGTGTAAGCAGCCGAAAGTGCAAAAGTCCCTGTTCTCCCTAAGTCTTAGTGCCATCTGCTTCCCCCAAACTGGCAGGTTGAAATTTACATCCATATCATCTCTACAGTCCTCTTTCTGATGAAACATCCTGCTTTTCCCATGTAAAATGCTAAAAGGGACATTACTTTTTAAAATCCAGACAGACACCCTGATTTATCTCTGTATTGATGTGCAGCAATCTGTTAAAACAAATCCACATTTTAGGTTGAAATGAGGCAAAACACATGCACAGACATAAAAATCAGTCCAGCAGTCCTCAGAGCAGAATTTCTGGACAGGTTTTTTTCTCCTCGCTCTGAGATCAGTTTTCACATGGCGATGCTGGCATGCTGTTCCAACTATAAAGGGACAGCTCTCCAGCAAGCTGAGTGCCAGAATAGATTGGGTTCTCTGAAGGTCACTTCATAGTTGACATATCTGTCAGTCACTGGTCTCATGGACATATCTTTTGATGGCAAGGAAAATAAAATGTTGCTCAGTATTAACTGTGAAAGCCTTGCCTGTCATTTGTCTCTCTTTTCACGGCTTTTAGCCTTTCAGACCTAGCAGGCCCTTAGGCTGCTTCCATTGCTCCTTCCATCCTTACACAAACTTTAGCCCAAGGACTCACAAAAGTGCTCATAAAAGTCACATTGCCCCGAGTCTGCTCACAGTCAGCCCTTGTGTAAAACAGGGTGAATACCACCAACAGGGCTGGGATCTGCAACCAAAAATAGAATTAAATCTGCATGTATTTAAGTGCCATTTGGCAAATTGACCATAAACAGGGACTGAATGAGGTTCCTTGCCCCAAGCAAATGCAGCATCAGCCTTGTCCAGACAGATGCTCGAGTCTGGGCTTTACATTAAATGTATGGTTAGTTTAAGTGAGAGGGAAACACTGAAGGAGGGAGGGAAACACTCCCTGCGGAGAGCTGCTTCTCCCCACATCCCAAAGCTGTTGCTAATTCTTGGTAGCCAAGGCACAGACAGTGAAGTGCTGCACACTGGAAGGGGAGCAGCCACTCTGTGAGCAGCAACTGCTAAAACCTCTCTGGTGGACATACCAAGAACATCACTTAATTAATTAGACCATTGGCTACAAAAGTTAATGGCCAAAGTGGATTTAAAAAGAAAAAAAGTTTTTTGGAGTTAGAAATTGCCCTGTCTGTGACAATGCTATTAATTATCAGGAAAAAGTGCTTGATGACATTTCCTTGTAGTTTCAAGCTTTATTGTTGCTTTTGTTTTTTAAAAGGTTGGTCTTATAGTATTTAATATTGTATTTGCTAGCAAAACAAAGCCCAATTTATTTATTTTTAGTTGTAGTTCTGCTTTTCCATTTCCACCTTCCTTCTCTGTCACATAAGCAAAGATTGGTAGATTTAATTTTACCCAAAAGGTGCTGTAAACATAGGGCATGCCATTCAAATATTTAGCTGGCAGATATACTCCCATCATAGCAGGGAGTACTTATTTGGCTTTCACAATTCTTCCAAAAGCATAGACAGATGTGTAAAAGCTTACTCAAAAGAAAAATATACATCATCTGGTGTTTAACTGAAAGTTTTTTGTGTGTGGGCTAGTAATTACAAGCCAGTTCCTGAGCTCTGTACCTGGCCATGCCATTGACCCACCACAGATTTTCATGAGTCATTTAAGTTCAGCAGGTTCGTTGTAATTGCTGATTTCTTAAGGACTGTTTTGTCTTTCCTTTTTCATGCAGCTGGTCTTCTCTATCCTTACCCTAAAGACTGCTCCCAGGCTCTCCTGAATGGAGAAGTCGCCTCTGGGCTCTACACAATTTATCTGAATGGGGACAGGACCCAGCCTCTGCAAGTCTTCTGTGACATGGCCGAAGATGGGGGCGGATGGATTGTGAGTAAGGGGGAGGGAGCACATGCCACCTTTGCATTCGTCTGCCTGTGCCAAGAGCAGGGGTAGCAGATCCCATCCCTGTGTTCCTACAGTGTCACTCACAGAGCTCTGTTATCAGAATAGAGCTGACTTGTCTATAAATTTGGCAAATTTTATCACAGATAGGACACCTAGGTGCCTAGAAATGAGGTTGTTAGCTCTCTGTAGCTGGAAGAGGGACAGATGTCTCCAGGGGATGGGTCATCTCAGTGTTCTCAGCACTTAGAAAGGACATGAATTGCTGCCCCAAAACCCTGATCTCTCTTCACTGGATGGACAGGGAGCTGAAATGACCATCTTTAATACCTTTTAAATAGATAATAGGTGAGACAAGGGTGGACTCACTCAATTTAGATGGGAGAGTAAATGACATTAAAGCAGAGGCGCTCTCTTTACAACAGGGGGAACCAGGTCAGAGAAAGCATTTGTTCAGCAGCCACACAACATGGTGACTGGCCAGGATACCCAGGCTGTTACAGAGGCTGCGTCCCACCCAGACAACAAATGAATGGCAACAAAAATGCCAGCTGTCTGTGCTGGCATCCTCAAATATGAACGTGACATAGGGACCCAGGACAGGGAAAGGAAGAAGAGCTGGAGAAATGCATGGGTAGAAGACGGGGATGTAGAAAGTCTTGGCTGAATAATACAGAGCTGTGTGGGGCCATTAAAAAAGCAGAGAATAGAAACTAAAAGACCACATCACATGGGGGATCCTGGGAACAGCGGTAGAGAAGACTTACCTAAAAAGTACAAAGAATGTTAACCTGACTTGGAACAATTGCAGTGAGACTGCTGCTTTGAGTGATAGGGGCAGGGGAGCAGCGATGCCAAGCTCTGCATTTGTAGAAGCTACGTTGCTGGTGTCCCTTCCATCAAAGGCAGTTTGGCAATAACGTTTGTATGCTGTGGTGGTAGGTATTCCTGAGGCGCCAAAATGGAAAGGAAGATTTCTACAGGAACTGGAAGAGTTATGCGGCTGGCTTTGGCGATCCTAACGATGAATTCTGGATAGGTAAGTGGCAAGAATTTATCTTATTCTAAAAATAAAACACAGAGCCCAAAAGTCTAAGAGACACTTGGAAGCCTCCATTCAGTTGGCAAGAGTATTTGTAAAGGAGAACATAGTCCAGGCAAAGGAGACTCGGCACAGCATGCTGCAGGGCAGACAGATTGCCAGGTCCAGCCCTTCAGTTGCAGTTCATGAATGTCACACTTGGGTCACTGAATGTACCAAACCAATGCCCAGTGGTACTCTGTAAGAAGTCAGAAAGTGACCTGAGAAGCAACTGCAAACTTGCTTTACTCCCAGGGTGTTCCCAACAAGAGCACATGACCTGACAAAGTAAAGTGGGGTAAATAGAAGTAAAAAGCAAATGTTCAAAGATTGCACTACATTTTATTTGCTCACAAATGAAAGATAATCACACAGCACCAGCTTTGATTACATCTCCCTAAGGGCTTCATGCTGCTGTGATTTGAAGGGCACAGAAAGTCTCTAAATCTGCCTGTTTCTCTTTGGTTTTGCACCAACATAACCATAAAACTGAAATAGCTCACCCTCCCAACCAGTATTGATGTCCTGGTGTATCTACACAGGCCAGTTAAACGCCCTTTATAAGACAAACGTATTGTTCATGTATTCCCACAGGTCTTGAGAACCTCCACAAAATCACTTCTCAGGGCCAGTATGAGCTGCGTGTGGATCTGCGAGACAGAGGCGAGACAGCTTATGCTGTGTACGACAAGTTCAGCGTCGGGGACTCGAAGACCCGGTACCGGCTAAGAGTGGATGGGTACAGCGGCACAGCAGGTAAGCTGAAATATTTTTTGCTTCTGTTCTTCAATTTCCTCCCAGTTGGCTCAAGCTACCATTGTGTCAGTGTTGCAGATGAGCAGCACAGCAGGTACCTCTTTCTTGTATGTCAGGCATTTGAAAATATGAAAATAACAATATCTTTTATATTTCCATTCTAAATCCTCCAGTCATTTAGGTGCCACTTTTTATGGCATACTTATGACAGAATATAAACAAGTATATTAAACAGCCACATATCTCGTTTGGTCAGTGCTTGACTGTCATTTGTACAGCTAATAATAACTTGGCAAAGTCTCATCTTGCCAGTGGAATATGCAGCCAAGTACTGCTATAACATGGTTTCTAATTTGCTGAACAAGTTATCTGCCTTTTGTCATACTGGGGCAACGCTTGCAGCCCTTACTGGATCCTCTTCAGTGCTTCAGAGGACTGAGAGAAATCCAGCTCCAGAGAGTGTCTTAAAGGGAAATACTACCGTAAGGTGCAAAAACCAGACCACAAAGATGCGTGCGGACTCTGCTCTGTGACCTTGACATGAACTTTCTGCACAGCTAATAAGGAAGCAGACAAACTGTTGATAAGCAGCAGTAGAATTAATGTCTGCTTAGGGCAAACACACTGATGCAGAGCAGTAGTAGCTGCTACAGCGATCAGGATTCAGTCCTACTGCTTCCCATTTTTCAGTGTTCAGGGCTAAGGTTAATGTTACAGTAACACAGATCCTATGGCACATATGCACTGAAGGCTGCTCCCACTGCACCCATCTATAAACCAGTACCCAGGCCTTGGGAATGGGAAGTCAGCTGCAGGCAGACATTTCTCCTTCTGTGTTTCAGGCTAATGAAGATGGGTGTCTTAATTGCAGGGACCAGCTAAGTGTGGTGACTCCTTTGGTTTTTGCCCATGCTTTATGGGGGTCCATTTGGGATCAGTCTGTTCACACTGCCTTCTGCTCAGGGCTGCAGTCCAGCTTCCAACCAGATGTGCAGGAACAGCTGTGTGAATAACCACTGAATGACTTGGGGGTTACAGACCACCTGGAAAAATGTTTGAGTTGCCTTCAACAACAAAAACTGTGTACTTCCTTCTGAAGCAAAACAAGTCAATTTTGAAATGACTTAGACACACAGTCCAAATTTTTGTGCAGAATGGTCACTCCCATGTAATCTAAACCACACAAGCCACTGACCTGGCTCTTTCTTTTGTCATCCCTACCTAGGTGACTCCATGACCTACCATAACGGCAGGTCCTTCTCCACCTTTGACAAGGACAATGATTCTGCTATCACCAACTGTGCTTTGTCATACAAGGGTGCATTCTGGTACAAGAACTGTCACCGAGTCAATCTGATGGGCAGATACGGTGACAACAACCACAGTCAGGTGAGTTTGGTGTCTGAAGGCTTCCCTAATGCATGAGAAGAAGGGGAATTACAATTATGGATCTGTCCAGTGGTTCAGCTAGCCAGAAGCCCACCAACCAAGCCCACACCCCAGACAACAGACAGTTGCTCACAAAACACAAATTTCTTGTCAGCTGGGGAAATACTGATGGTTTTGTATCATTTTCCATGGGCATCTCTAAAGTCTGCAGTCTAATAATCATAGTTTACAATATGTGAAACAAAATGTTCTTCGCGCCATGAAGGCCAGGCAAAGAGTGACAGCTCTGGGGGACAGCTTGTGACTTGGCTAGTACAGGCCATGTGTGCTAGTGGCCCCTGTACTTCCCAAAGTCCCTTTACTTTGTTGTGTCCCTGTTCCCAAGTTAGAAAGCGAGATCTGAAGTGCAAGCAGTAAAGGCTGACACCAGGGTAAGAAACGGATGTGTGACTTCTCATGCTTCATCTTTGTCTTTGCAGGGTGTTAACTGGTTCCACTGGAAGGGCCACGAGTACTCCATCCAGTTCGCAGAGATGAAGCTGAGACCCTCAAGCTTCCGAAATCTGGAAGGAAGACGAAAGCGAGCGTAAAGCCTTGGGGTGGTGAAAGGGCTACAGGCAGGGCAATGGGGGGGAGGGACAGAGAACAGGGGGTGTGGGGGAATCCTCTGGCATCACTGGGGTGGAGGGGTGTGAGGAGCTGGTAGTTGTACCAAAGCATTGGTGACCCTTGGCGCAACAGAGGCTTCTGCAGCAGTCCAACCAACAAGCCTTACATGCCCCAGCGTTTCCAGCAGAGCAGCTCCTGCTGCCCACCAGTAATGTCCTTCACGCCAAAGACAGCGATCTCAAGGGTTGTATGTTGTTTTGTTAATTTTTCTTTTCTCAGCCTCTGGGATGAAGTTCTTCCACGGTCTGACTATCTCTTGGGTGGCCCAGGGTAGGGGAGGGAGAACAGCTTTGTATATTGGTAGTTTGTTTTAGAACCAGCCATATTTTTACACACAGAAATGTGTACGATTAATTATCATTATTATTATTATTAGATATAATTGAAATCCTTTGGTTGTTGGAAAGCCTTTTTTATATATATATCAAGTACCACAGATAAGGAAGGGGTGGGGAAGGGAAAGCAGTGCATTTTTAAACTTAAGCATAAAATTAATATTATTAATATAATGACAAAGTAATAATAATAATGATAATAATAAGCTAAGTTTTTGTCATTTTTATGAGAACCATGCTTTCAGAAACACAGCAGGACAGTGTCTGATTGTAAATTTTTTTAAAAAAAATAAAAGCACAATTACTTTTAAATAAATTTCTACCTTTTTTCATACATGTTGAGTTTGTGCATGTCCAGGGTATATTTGCTTACATGGGGAAGTAAAAGGAAGGCTGAAAATGATCAGGCTGCTGAGTCCATACTGAAAACTGTTCCTTTTGTTAGTGGTTGGCTGTAAGTATTCTGCTGGGTTTGTTACAGTGAAAGGCCTCTAAGGATTTGATTTCTTTTAGAACATGCTTCTTTTTTTTCCTGCCCAAAAGCTTTTACATGTTTTTTCTCAGTGTTACTGACCAATGCTCGCTCCATCTAGGTGGGAAGAACTAACAAAAGAAAGCAAGGAAAGTACAGAGTTGTTAGGTACCACCGGTGACTTTGAACACTTGTGTAAATAAAGGGCTCTCTTTTTGTATGAATGAAACCTCTGTGTAGTTCCTCTGTATCATGCTCTTCAGTTGGAGACAATAAAAGATCTTTTGTTTTAACCCAGTCTCTCTGCCCTGCTTCAAGGTTGCACTTTTCAAACACAACAAGTGTTTCAGCCCCTTCCTCATCTGACACTGGGAGGCGGCCGCGAAGGAAGATGCTCTCAGTCTCCTGATCTGATCAGCTCTGAGAATAAGGCTTAATGGTACGTGCTACAAAGTAAGGTCACATATTGCTGATTTGACACAGGGTATAAAAAGTGTGCGCACATGAAAAACAGCACTACAAAGCTCCAAAATCAGGAGGGAGGGAGGGAAGGAAGGAGGGAATCACTTCCCTTCACCATTGGGTCTCTCCTTCCTAATTTCTGATGTCTCTTCTTACTATATGTATATATTATTGCAGTCCTTCAATTCTCACATTTCAGAGCTTTAGCTGAGTGTTTGTTAGCCCTTGGGAATGATTATGTGCCTGGGCCATCTTCTTCACAGTCTTGACTCAAACTTTGGCATCACCCCAGAGGGGAGAGCCTGGTGGGGACCTCCCGTGCTCGGGTGTGCAGAGACCAAGGTCACTGTGAGGGAACCAAAGGACAGCAGGAACTGCTGTGCGGAGACACATGGTGCTGCAGACAGAAGCATCAAAGCACGTGTGCTGTGTGTTATTAATAATCAGTCTCAGCAACTGTATTTCAGCAATGTTTAGTGTAGGTGTAATGTTTGTAGGTATTTACAGTGCACCTCCTAGGAACGGTAGCGCACAGCTATTCATTGCTGAGCACACATTAGGGCCACAGGACTAAGATGCTGCATGGGACAGAGGATTTTTTGTCTGAGAAAGGATAATGCCTAGCTAGGGATGCAGGAGAAGGACCTAATTAGTGAAACTTTGAGGGTCTTCTGTTGACATGGTTTCCATTCCGTGTCTTTATTGTCAGTCTGGCTTCCTCTCCTCATCCACCTGAAGTGCACTGCTGTGGCCTGGCCACCGGCAGGTGGCACACGGAGCCTGTCTTGGTCTGTGCCCGGTCTGTTTGGCAGCTCTTAGAAATAAGTCCTGCAGGTATCCACAGAATCACAGAATCACAGAATCACAGAATTTCTAGGTTGGAAGAGACCTCAAGATCATCGAGTCCAACCTCTGACCTAACGCTAACAGTCCCCACTAAACCATATCCCTAAGCTCTACATCTAAACGTCTTTTGAAGACTTCCAGGGATGGTGACTCCACCACCTCCCTGGGCAGCCCGTTCCAGTGTCTAACAACCCTTTCAGTAAAGAAATTCTTCCTAACATCTAACCTAAAACTCCCCTGGCATAACTTTAGCCCATTCCCCCTCGTCCTGTCACCAGGCACATGGGAGAACAGGCCAACCCCCACCTCTCTACAGCCTCCTTTAATGTACTTATACAGAGCAATAAGGTCACCCCTGAGCCTCCTCTTCTCTAGGCTGAACAAGCCCAGCTCCTTCAGCCGCTCCTCATAGGACTTGTTCTCCAGGCCCCTCACCAGCTTCGTCGCCCTTCTTTGGACCCGCTCAAGCACCTCGATGTCCTTCTTGTAGCGAGGGGCCCAAAACTGAACACAGTACTCGAGGTGCGGCCTCACCAGAGCCGAGTACAGGGGGACGATCACCTCCCTAGCCCTGCTGGTCACAGTGTTTCTGATACAAGCCAGGATGCCGTTGGCCTTCTTGGCCACCTGAGCACACTGCTGGCTCATATTCAGCCGACTGTCCACCATCACTCCCAGGTCCTTCTCTGCCTGGCAGCTCTCCAACCATTCCTCTCCCAGCCTGTAGTTCTGCTTGGGGTTATTGCGCCCCAGGTGCAGGACCCGGCACTTGGCCTTGTTGAACTTCATACAGTTGACCTCAGCCCATCGGTGCAGCCTATCCAGGTCCAGACATTGCCATCTTTGGCTGTTGCCTTCTTGTACGGTGGCATGCACTACGCAGAGCCTCCCAGCTGCTTGTGTTGTCTCTGCAGCCGAGGTCTTTGTTAGAAAAAATAATTACATGTAGTAAAGCATTGCCCTGTGGCCACGCAGCAGGAACTTTGCAAGGAGACCTGTGAGAAAAGGCGTTTTTTTTGTTTCTTTGTTGTTTTTTGGGGGGCTTAGCAGGAGCAGGAGCTAGGTCCCAGCAATAGCACATGACAAAGAGGAACTCCTGTTTACTTTCTTCATTAATATTATCCACATACTTTGAACACATCCCCCCTCCCCCCCTCCAAGTGTGAATTTGTACTAGTGCATGTTGTTTGTTTCGCACAGGGAGCACAATCTCCTTCATCCTTCCAGAACACTGCCAAGGGGCTGACCTGCAGCACCATATTAAATCCATTCTCTATAATTAACAGCCCCTCTTTGCTGTTTGTTGGAGCAAGTGATTGGCACTATAAAAGAAAGCAAACCCAGTAATGAAGAAACATGCTCCCTTTTGAAGATGTTCTTTCTGTTACTGGAAAATTGCACTAAATCTGTATAACTGGGGGTTTGAGAGCTCTTGCAGTGTGTTTGCAGACATTCAAGGGAAGAATAGACATCTATAAAACTATTTCCTTGCTTCTGGTAACATCACAAAGCTGCCTGTATCTGACTGTGATGTCTTGTAGCTTGGCAGAGCCAAGCAGGACTGCTGGAGATGGGCTGAGATTTGTACCTTGCTCCAGCAGTGACATGCACTCGCTGCACAGAAGAAAGATGATATTTCCTGTAATTACTCACTGTCAGATGCCCTGCTTGATATTTTTCTTGATTACTACTGTGAGAGAGAAACTGGCAAACCCTTGAAGCAGCACATGCCAAAACACCCTTCAGAGCTGACACAAGCTTGATTTGGTACCAAGCAGCTCAGCCATGGCTATTTTAACATTTATTTGCTTTCAGGTTTTTCTCTCTGCTCCTTTCCTGATTTTAACTTGCAAGAATAGCTTAAAAACACACACAATCTTGAAATTAATTTATAAACCTGCCAAGGCACACCAAATGCCTGTCTGGTTAGTTTGTCAGATTAAAGAAAACATCACTTACATGACAAAGCAGTGTGGGAGCCTCAGGGGGGCAGGAGGGGAAGGGTTTCAAAAATGTTTGGGCAGCTAGACTTAAGGTCTCAGAGGTATGGAAGGAGATATTTTGGGAAGTGAATGGGATTCATGGGGTTAGGCCAGTGTCCATAAGGGGTATTTTTGAGACACGTAGGTGGCAAAGCATCTTTTTCAGCTCCACTGGACTTAACCTCCCTCCTTCAGTCCAGGTGCATGCCCAGCCCTGCAGAAACCCTTTCTTATACTGCAGCCCCAATCTCAGACTTGGATTTCTTACTCAAGCTTGGGTGAGGTGGGGCCCTCGGGCCAGCTGCTGAAGCTTTGGGCAGAAGACAGCTGGATAGGGCATTCTGGGGAACTGAGGCTGGAGCTGATGGCAGCTTTTAGGTTACTAAAGCATCTGGCTTGCAGTGGGACTCACACTACTAAATGCTGCTTTTTCTGTACCAAGCATGAGGGTGCAGCCACACTGACCGAGTGGCTAGAGCCCTCCTTTGTGATGTGGGAGATGATGAAACGTTTAATTCTTCTGTTTGCCTGAACCAGAGCAGGACCTTAAGGCCAGCTCAGTTTGACCCCAGGACATCACCCTCTTCAGCTACACCATCTCTAGGTGGAGCTCTTTAGCTCTCTTCCTGACTCTATTTCATCTTTGTTAATCAAGGGCATTAATTGCATCTATTGCTGGGCTAAATGTAACCACAAAACCTGGGCATCTTCTCTGAGCCTGCATTAGTGAACAAGTAGCCCAAACTGTTGGAGTGACCTGTAACAGAAGGCACCTTCTGCTTCCCATCTTTCCTGTACAAGGTCACTTCATTCGAAATTACATTTTTGACTTGCTTTACTTTAAGAGCACTTGGGTATAACCAGGGCTTGAAGAGCACATAAAACTATCAGTCGAGTATAGAGCGGTCCAGTGGCTGTCCCAGCTACCCCTTTGGCCTCAATTTTCACTACCCGAATCCGAAACTGCAGCTGTCAAAAACCTTCTTGCGGCTGCTGCATTAACTCTGAGGGCTGTTAAACTCTGCAGGAGCAGTACTTTTTTGATTTCTTTTCATTTATTTTCTTTTTTTTTTTTTTTTAACATTCTGTGTGCTTAACGTAATGAAACTTTTCAGTCAGACCCCGATGAGTAGAAATGTGAGCTGAATAGAAATGTTTAGGTGTCACCTGCAGCTTGGTCTTCCACCCAGAAAATGGCAAGGAGCTGCACTGTCTGCTTAGGGCAGAGCACTGGAGGAGGAAGGGCCTGCTCTGAGCCCCAGGGTATGAAATATCTGCTCTTGTGGCATCAGCCTCATAGGTACCTTGCTATACTTCTGCCTCCCAGGTGACACAGGCCTCTGGAGCACAGCTGGGAGTGCTGAGACAGTGCTTGGCTGCTTGCTGCTGCTTCTCTGCACTTGGTCAGGAGCTACAGACAGACGGGAAACAGTGAGCAGACAGCAGACATCACCATATAACATTACAGATTTAAGATCTTCTATGAGTTATCTATCAGACAAAATAATTAAATGTATTTTATGGGAAGTGGGGGAAACAATGGTTCGTGTAAAAGAAAGGAAAGAAGACACAAACCCCTCAGCAGCACTAGCGTTCCAGGTGGGGATACCCCTTGTTCAGGATTTCCTTACCATTTTCTTTGAAAAAAGTCTGCTTAGAAACCCTCTTGTCTTTAGTCTTTGTTCATATGCCTCCTTCTTGGGTATTTCCCCAGCAACCTCAACAGGTAAAGAAATCTCAGTCCGTAGTGCCATAGCAGCTTTGTGTGGGCACAACATATGTTTGTCCTGATAAACAAGGAGTGGTTGTAACCAAGAGACTGCAAGCAAATATCAGCAAAAGCTGCACATATGATGATTGTTCTTGGAAGGCTGACAGCCTCACTGTAAAAAAACACATCTTAATCAGACCTTCAATCTAGACAATAACATGACCTCTCTGCGGTAAAGAAGAAGTTGGTTTAGGTGAGAGAGAAAGACAATTCTCAGGAAGAAAAAAAAAAA